AAGTTGAATTATTTTTCTAAAGTGATCTCAATGAATTCTAACACACAAGAGGAGGATAATAGTACCTCTTTTCGGACTACGCACACTCACTGCACTCATGTCGAGTATAGTGTTTCGAACGACAGGCAATTTAAATACATGTTTGTGTTGTTTCGGTGTACGTTTTGTCGTGATCGTAAACCACAAAGTTTAAGACTGTATGAAAGACCGTTAGAACCTCAAATTATACGTGACATTTTGAGCCAAAGTTTCTAAACTTCTAGACAATATTTTTTGTAGCTTTGTCATGGGAAGAATATGTCATGCAGAATGTTTCACAATCATCCTTATAATAGCTCATGGGTGACTTGTGATTCAAGAATAGAAGATTGTCCTCAGAAAATAAAGGGAATTCGGAGTCGGTGCCGTCACGATCACCGTCAGTAGATGAAGTAATATAAAGTGTTAAGGAACGAGCTCGGAAGCAGATCACGGCCGTATTTGTAAAGACGATCTCCACAGGTAGGTGTATTTAATTATCTTAAGACTGTATCACGTGAATGCAGTTATTGAGTATCAGCCAGTTAGTATTGAGTGTATAACCTGGCACTTATGTACATCGCTCCAAGTTGCAACTCATAATAAGTAAATAGAGATGAAGTTCACAAGTTAAATCCTTGAGTAGTAAAGACAGCAACAGTAACGATAGGACTAGAAAATAACACGACTAGAAGACATGATGCAAGAAAATACAAATGAGTAATTAAACAAATTGTTCTGCCCTACAGCCAAGGGTGGACTGAATTTATCTCCCCACCAACATGTTTGCTGGTCAGTAACGCCACCCTCCCTTCTTTTGTGATGTTAGGATCTTTTACGTTTGTGGTAAGTATGAATACTACTTCAATCAAAGCCCATAGTTGGAATACACTGTCTCTACTAGGTCCATGTTACAAGCAAATCAGATAGTTAAAAAGTTTGTTTCATGGGTTAGATGTCCACACAGTATATCACACTGCTATGAAGATAACTAATGGTTTTAAGAAGTAAGGACTAATAGCAAATAAAAAAATATGAGAGGGTATAAAATTGTAGAAAAGAAAAAAGATTTTAGGGTAAGAACAATAAAACATTGAGAAACTCTCAAGACTTTGTGGCCGGATTTTGAGCTTTGTATGATCGGCCTTAGTAGATCAACATCCATAAGATTAGTGAGTTATCTGTCTACTTGCAATAGAAAAAAAGAGGCATGACTTTTAGGAAGAATAATGTACATTTAACCTGTAGTGAGATTTGGGAACTGAAAGTGAGGGTTAGGAGCATAAGGTCATGAATAATAAACAATGAATAGTAGGAAGGGATAAGCCATATATTCTGTGATTTGGTTGTATTCACATTAATATCAGTTGGGCTTGTTATACTCTTGGATGAAATGGACAAACCTGATGAACACCATTTGAAGTAAGCAGTTCTGATGCAATTTGCTATAAGGTTTGACTCGACCATTAATGTTCAAGTGGAGGGTCTGTACAAGGTTAATGTACTTCTTTGGTACTCCTTTCAATAACGGACATTGTCATAGAACCTCACGGTCAACGAGCCGAACACTGCCTTAAGGTCAGGGCGTATAACCAGTGCCGAACGTCAAAAGTATTTGTGTCCTGAAATTTGTCTAAGATGAATATTTGGCCTGTACATCCAAGTCCATGTCTCAAACTAGCCTGATTTTCTCGAATTTACTTTCTACGATCTCTATTTGGACGTCGAAGTATTATAGAGGCTACTATTTGAGAAACTATATTAGTTAAACTGACTTTCCTATACTTGTTACAAGAATATTTTCGTCCATTCTTATAATCTGTGACGATCAGTGATAAAGACTAATCAGGTAAAATTATATTCAGTCCTCAAACTGGGATGCTTACTCTCGCCATTTCTTCTGTTAGCGGAACAGATTATGGAGACCCCCATATCTTTCGGGGCAGCTTGTGTGAAGCTAGACTATTTGGACTCCCCAGATGACCTAGCTAGCTCTTCCAAACTAATCAAAGCAACAAATGCAGGTGAAGACAGCCAATGTTGCAGCAGCCTACACAACAGTAGGCCTCGACGTACACGAGGAAAAAGGCGAGATTCCGAAACGTAACAAGGGGGAACACCAACCTAGTCACAACTGATGGAGAAACTCTAGAAGTGGTAGGGAGCCTACATACATTGGTTGCATGATCGGATGAAAAGGAGGATCTGATGCAGATGTAAAGACAAGGATTGTCAAACCAAGGACAGAATTTCTACTGGTGAAATATATATGAAACTCAAAACAACTAACAGCCAACGTTGAAGTCAGATGGTTGGGGGACGTCTACAGCCATCAAGAAAGTACATGAACTTATAAACAGTTATTCGCCAAAGATACTGAATGTCGGTTGGTCGGACACCACCAGTGGGATAGAACAAGCCAGCTGAGTAGGACTCTCTCAAACAGAGTTTGTTGGAGAATCCTATGCTCCTCCGCGATGGTTAACATGCGCTCACTCGTGCCATTGTGTTGCACAATTTCTATGACCCCAACCAGGGAGTCCTGAAGGAACGACAAATTTTAGTCATATACAGTTCTATTTCATATCACCTTCCCACCTTTTTAAATCAGTCCATAGGTAAACAAATAAGGCGCGATTGGAATACACTGGGGCGACATTTGTAGTACATGTCCAAAGCACGCAATTGATTTTCAGAATCATGGCATCAACTGAAGTATCGACACCCTGCCTGAACAAACGTCGTCGAATGTCGGCATTAATGCGTGATTTTGCTACTGAATTTCACCAATCCTTCGGAAACAAACATCACTGAATGCACAGGGTTGACTAACATCCTCAATGTCCGGAGACAGACGGGATGAGTTTCTGAGTGTCTTTCAGTTCAGTAGATTCGACTGAAATCTACTGACTTCTCCTAGCCTGTCGATTTGAGTTACTGGTAGATATCACTGCTTTTCCGCAGCTTTTTGGATATCATGACAAGCTACCTCGAGGTGCGTATAACCTTCATAGTTGACCAACTCCTCCAGTGGTTTGAGAAGTAAATTCTTAACTTTTTCATCATAAAACTTCAAGGTGTTTGTTTACTGTAGATTTTCTACGTCCAGACAAATACGTGCTTGGACTAGAAAATGCAAATGAACGACTATCTTAATATACTTGCAGCAGACAATCGCCGTTATCCGTTTGCTAAGCCGCGACACTGCAAGTTTTGGGTAAGTGCCTTTCGGTTTGGTTTAGTCTACCTACTTGATGTTTTAAATCATAGACGTCGCACATTCAGGAAATTAGATTCATTGAGTCGAATCCAGAGTGTTAGAGCGCGCTTCTCTCTTTGATGAGAGTGCTTTTATACCTAGCGTTGTCGTGTCAACCTAATGTCTCGCAAACCGGAATTATGGTTAGTCTGCCTTCATGTAGTTATATGATTTGCCATATTATGATGTAAATTTCATTAAATAACTAGATTATTCTGTGAATTTTGGTATGGCTGTAACTTTTATTTGCCACGTCTGAGTTACACTGCACATGCTGGAATGATATGCCAAGTCACAGTAAGCTCGATCAAATCACTTTTTCAATAGGCCGTCAATGAATAATGTTACTGGAGAAAAATTTGTTGTGCTGCAAACTGTTTTTTTGCGTAAATGACTGTTGTCTTCAGTCTCAAAATATCGTTTGTCTCTGTTAGGTGGGTCTTACTGGCTTATAATTCATGTTTTTGGTTTACAGGCTTAATTATCCACATTTATCTACTTTGATTAACATGTCTGTGCAAATGAATTAATCATGATGACACTTTAGTTTAGTATTCTTGGCTGTCGTATAATTCAATTAGTCGATATAAGTATAGTGCTTGAATTATATAATGGAGCAGATCAGTTTAGTAAGTAGAGCTGCTCACTCATTTCTGTTAGTATGCTTGAGGGTCAGAACTAGAAAACGATCGGTGTGAGATTATGTATAAGTTAGAGCGTATAAAGCTCCAGAAGGTTAAAAGCTTAGAATATGTATAAAACAGGACGAATCACGAGGATGTTAGGTTGATGCATCATATCTATCATATTCCCACTATTTGACTGTGGACAAACGTAAAAAATCATATTGGCAACTGGGAATTTTAGCTTATCAGATGCTAACTCTTTTTATCTATCTTCCCGTTAAAGCAGACGCAGATGCATTAGAATACTTAAATGAGGGCAAAACAATATGGTATCTTCTTAATCACAAACCTGTATTAGATCGATAGCATCCCTGACCTGTTCCCAGGTTGTCAGGTGTCGGGGTTTCATAATTCTTTTGAAAACAACACTGTGTCTACAACTATTGGACACTCAGTATTAGTTTGACTAGTTGATGGGATAGGGTTATCCATAATACTGAAGGACATAACAAGCCGTAAGTCGTTTTCTTTCAATGCTCTAGATAACATCATAAACGGAAGCTAGAAATGAACAGGTGGGCATTCAGAGTCCCAGTGGCAGCAATATATTTTTTAGCTAGAAAAAAACTAAATTTGTTTCTCGACATTTACAAAATAATACTAAAAACACAACAGATTAACATTTTATAACACAAAAAGCGAGCTTGCACGAGGGAATACACTGCAATAGCAGCAACAAAACCGAGAAAACAAAGATGGCGGTAATGATAACTTCCGCTTCATCCCGAATGGTCGCTTAGGCGACTGCCAAAATGGCGGGACTATAATTTATGGACGAACCAATCAGATTTACGATAACAGGTCTTGTATTTTGGCGCGAAATTCATTCACCCGTTTGGCTAAATAGAACCTGGTATTATAGCTGGTGTCAGTTCGTGATGAAAACCCTTAATCTAATTCCTAACCCAAACGATCAACTGTAAATGATAACCCTTATTCTTCAAACTGCTTTAAGTAGGTAGACACCCTCAAGGTCACTTTAGCGTCGCTCATGGTCGTCCTTACAATCTACCAATTGCTTGATGAATCCGTCGTCCAATCAGATTAAACCGGCATTTTCGACGTTCCGGTCAGTAATACTGTGGTCTCATTTATTTCAGTCGTGATTCAACTTCTGGATTGCTTCTTCTTTTCTGGTTCCAAAAATGCAGGAGGACCAGCCGTTCAAAGTTGGTAAGTTTTAAACTTGTTCAAGTACTTGACATAAACGTTTATGTCGTGTCATTTTTAAATTATTTTTCTTATAAATGTCACTGAATACAATCATGTGAATAATTCTGAATTTAGTAAAATGTTTATTAAGTTGGCTTCATGTCAAACACCAAACCACTATGCTTTCATCACAATTTCAGACTCAGATTTGTGTCATAACCCAATCTCCCAATTTTGGGGAATCCGCTACAGAAAATTTTGAGGAAATGACACCAAACCCACAAAATTTCCCCAGAATCTTATTACACTTTGGGAAAACCGGCCTATATTTGTTACAAAACCCCAAAATTGTGGGTAGATTTCGCGTTTTTCCTCAAAATTTCAGTCCTTAAGGACTGAAGGCCTACGACATATGTTATTTCTTTTCTAGTATGCTTCTATAAGTGTCTAGTCTTCTATTGAATAAGTCATTTGAAGGTGCGAACACCACTTCTTCGGGTAACAGGTTACAAGAATTGATAACTCGGTATGAAAACCTGTATACCATGGGTATTTCGTTCGTTCTTGACTTCTCTGCTCGCGTGTTATGTCCTATGAGATGTTCTTACCTAGTGAGAAGAACAAGAGAATACATTAGGTCCAAAATAATTTCTTAGTATTCTATGTATTAAAACCAGATCACCTCAATCTTCAATAGGACAGAGTAAAGAGGTCCTGCTTTTCAAGCCGCTTTTTGTATGGTAAACCCTGGAGTTCTGGAATTGCATGGTAGCTGCCCTCTGTGATTTTCTCAGGATATTTGAGTCATCTGTTAAACAGGGATTTGCAGCCTGAACGCAGTTTTAAGCTTAGTTCTCACTAAGGTTGTGTATACTGTAGTGAACATGGTAGTATCTAACCTGGTGAATATCCATCTTAAAGCACATAGGGTTCTAAACCCCTTAGCTACAACCTCCTGGCAGTGGGCCGTGGTCTTAATATCATGACTCACTGTCACTCCAAGATCCTTGTGAGATCGGACCGCAGGTACAAGTGCTTTCCATATGCTGTACCTATTTACCTTTATATCCTCAAAGTGCATGTGGACACACTTTGCGGCGTTGATAGACATCAACCACTCTTTGGACCCGCTAATCACAATATTTAAGTCTGCCTAAAGTGTGTATGCATATGCATCTCCTGTTATTTCTCGCCAGATTTTTACATCAGTGTATAGTAACATTGGGGACTCAACCATACTTGGGAGATCATTTACATACAGTATAAAACTCGATGGGCAGAACACTTTAGGGATCAGTTCAACTGGCCTTCAGCCACACTTCGGTTTCTCACGATCTCCAGTCAACGTGAATGGCAAGTTAATTCAGGTCCTCCGACTCTTTATGAAGTTGAAAAAGCCATAGGAAATCTCAAACGAGGGAGAGCAGCAGGCCCTGACAGGTTTACTCCTGAGAATTTTAAGGATGGTGGTCCAGTATTAGCAGTGAGATTAACCGAGGCCTTAGGTAGAATTTGGGAACTGGACGCAATCCCATCTGACTGGTCTTAATCACTGATTGTGCCAGTCTATAAGAAAGGACAAAAGTCCTCTTGTGACAATCACAGAGGAATCAGTTTGACTAATATAGTGTCTAAAATATTAGATTCAGTAATACTTCGACGCCTAACTAAAGCTCATGAAGAGCAGACTAGAGAAAACCAGAAGCCCCATAATCGTAGTATTTCTCGACCTTCAGGCAACATTTTACTCTGTTAATCGTGAGGTTCTATGGCAGAGTTTGTCACTGAAGGGAGTACCAAAGAAGTACATTAACCTTGTAAAGGCTCTCTACTCGAACACAACTGGTAGAGTGAGAGCTTATGGCAAACTGTCATCAGAATTGATTACCTCGAGTGGTGTTCGTCAGGGCTGTCCACTCTCTCCATTCTTGTTTAACTTTATCGTAGACGTGCGCTTAGAGATGGCACTTTCCTCATCTAAATTTCCAGGGGTTGAACTTCTACCAGGAGATTCACTTGTTGACTTGGAATATGCCGATGACTTAGTTCTATTTGGTGAAGACTCTGACAAAATGCAGTCTTCTGACCACTCTAAGCAACAATGCAAGCATGTTCGGGATGCGATTCTCCCCCTCGAAATGCAAAATGTTGCTTCACGATTGGGTTGCATCGAGATCCGAAGTGAAGTAATTGAGCATGTCGACCGCTTCACTTATCTTGGAAGTCTCATCAGCCCTTGTGGTCTGGTGTGTGACGAAATCTCAGCACGGATACAGAAGGCTCGACTAGCTTTTGCTAACTTGCGTCATTTGTGTCGTAGGCGAGATATCCGTCTATCAACCAAAGGACGTGTTTACTGCGCAGCAATTCGTTCCGTCCTACTTTATGGCAGTGAAACATGGCCGGTAAGAGTAGAGGATATCCGTAGGTTACTAGTATTCGATCATAGGTGTCTTCGAAACATTGCTCGTATATCCTGGGACCATCGAGTAAGTAACACAGTTGTTAAGAAACGGGTACTAGGTAAGGATGGCAAATCGATTGATGAAGTGGGGAAACTTCATCAGTTGGGATGGCTGGGACACGTGTTACGTATGCCCAACGACCGACTGTCTCGACGTGCGATGTTCAGTGGTATAGGAGTAGGTTGGAAGAAAGCTAGGGGCGGCCAGACCAAAACATGGCACAAGTCCATGAAGTCACTGACAAGTGGACTGAGTCATGTTGGTAGGTGTAGACTACCTGGTTGGGGACGGCGAGATGATTGCAACCGATGGTTAGAGACCCTGAATGACATGGCTCAAAATCGTTTGCAATGGCGCAGGTGCATCCACTCTTTGTGTTCGCCCAAATTTTAATCTTCTGAATTCTTCATGTCCCTTTCTGTTTTCTCTTTCCAAATTTATTTCACTGGATTATACTCCTTGAATAACATCTTCAAATCCTGATTTTTCTGATTACAGCTTATAATTTTACTATATCTAGCACTACGGGATCTGAATCGACCACTGCATCTCTGTGCTAATATGGTATGGCAACTCGAACTGATGTACGTACGTACAAAGTTCTACGTTGTTACTGACTGACTGAGTATAAAAATTAAAGGACCTAAGACGGAACCTTGCGGTACTCCACTAAGCACTAGTCTCCAGGTGGAGCACTTCGAATTTACTCTTACTTTCTGTCTACGGCCTACCACACCTTGGCCAGATGACATTGAATATCGCAATTGGTAGGGCTGCCATATGTTGTGCGATTTGTCTCAAGATTTTGGGGTGTAGTTCATCCGGTCCTGCTGACTTTTCCGTGTCTAGATTGCCAAGAGATTGTGCTAACTGCATTTAATATTTTCTATGAGCTTCCCGGATTTTAATTATACACTTATTTCTTACCGACCTATAGCGTTCCATAGTAATTGCTGTGCCAAAGCTGATGGCAACGTCTCAACATTTCTTTTGCCTTAGTAAATGTCGAATATCTTGGCCTATTCAAGGATAACAGTGCTTCTTTTTTGGGACTGTCCAGGGTATATGTGGTTGAACTACCTGATTGTATAACTGCCTGAAATGAGTTCATGTATCTTCTACTGATGTCCATGAGTCGATTGGTCCTTCGGCTCTCTCTCACATTGTCCGGACATTCCATGTACCTATATTGTTTGTTGTTCTAGTTGTCAGAAGAGGCAACGGCCTCAAGATTTTCGAGGAATCTCGGCATTCATCATGAGGCGTCATGATGATGCACACTGACCATGTTTCTAGTTGTTTTCGCGATAGACCAGTCAGTTAGGCCCAAATAACGTAGAACCTGGCACAAATTTCCATCGAATCAAGCTGAAAAATCACGTTAACACAACGGCATGAAATTCTCAAGATGAATACCAAAACAATATCTGATAATAAGAATAATCACGCATAGAAAATTTGATTGGAGATGAAAGAATCAATTAAGTGAATGAAAAATCTAAAGTAATTTTTAAACATGAACCCCAAGGTTAAATAAAGTATAAGTGGATATATACTGTTGCGATCGATTTTCAGCGTTGTTGCCTACGTTTTTTGACAGTTAGTAGTAATAATCGGTTCACATTAATCATGGTGCGCATTAATCAAAGGTGAGCATTGAAAGTGTAAATAACCTTTTTAGTAGTGTAAAGTACGTTCGAATTACCCTCTGTCCCTTTACTTTGCGACCAATCAAAAAGGTAGTCTTCTGAACGTACGTTGAAGAGTCTAATTTCTCGAATTCGGTAAAAAAGTGTTGTTATTACCCCAGTTGTGTTATTTCGTACGTCTGTTTTTAAGAGCTAGGATATAATCTAATCGAAGGGATATTTGTGTGTTGGATTCCTAACAGATCAATAGTTTGTTAGACAGTTCCAGGTAACCGAAAATTTAACAGTAATGGACCTAATTACGATTATGTATTTGAAGTGAAAATGTTTAGGTCGCATTGTCATATGATGTATGAATTTATCATAAAACAGCCGACTAAACACAATCATGTTCCTTATAAGTCTACAACAGATGCGAAAAAGACAATCAACATGATGAAAGATCGAACAGCTTTTTCAACAGACGTGGCACATCAAATTGTGGTCACAGTGTCAACTGGTTTGTCGTACGTGGTATCAGCTCAACCTCCAGCTGATAGTGTAATGAAACAGCATGATAGTCAAGCTTCCTTTCCAAATCCAGGTTCTTTGAATGTACTAAATTCACCCTCTGAATAATGTGAGGAGGGAGAATTTCTTACTTTATGATAGTAAGGCGGGCGACAAAAGAATTTCAATATTTTTGATATAACGGGTGTTTAAAGTATTTTTTTCTCACGTATATTACGATAATACGTTAATAAGACTAGTCACGTTACATCAGAACTAGGATTCACTATCCAAAATAGAGATCCAGATAAACACTAGATAATACTTTGTTCAATACAAGTAACAAGCAGTCACACTCAGTGGGTCCGGAGTAAAAATCAATGACGGAAAGGGGAATCACATATTTGATAGTCAGTAGGCTGTGGCTGTTTGTCCACGCTCAACGACCAATCATTTTACTTCCACTGGTTAGCGTTTTTTTAGCGAGTTAGTTTTCTACGGGATGGGGTCACTAACCCCATGCCCAACCCTTCTCCTTTACCCGGGCTTGGGACAGGCAGTAGCTCTAGGAGATTTACAGGCGGTTTTTTTACTTCCACTACCACACAGTTTCCTACATCTTGGAATATTGAATTTTTGAAGCATTGTCGTCATTAGTACGTTGACAGGACATTCAAGACCTCGCCATCTTTGTTTAGTCAGCTATACACAATTCATGCTACGAGATTCTGCATGATTGTTTCATTGGTTTACATTCTAATGAATGACGAAAGTAGGAATTCGTATGTCTACATATTTAATAAATCAAATGAATTGTACCAAACTTTAAATCCATCAGGTATCATGACTGACTTTGAACGCTCAGCATTATCAGCATTTCGATAAGTATATCTGAATACAGTACAGCTACATTGTAGCTGACTAACTGACTGAAGTATATCTGAGTACAGTACAAGAAGGTCATCTGTTTCATCTGAGCCAGTGTATATGTCGGATACTTCAACAATAAGCGAACCTTCAGCAACTTTATGTGACAAAAGAAAATTTTCCTTCCCATATTCCTCATTTGGCAGCATTAGCTTTCGTACTGGTCACAGCTGCATTTTAGAGTCTAATAGTCATCATTTTACATAGAGAATGAAGAAATCAAGGGGTTAACAAATCATTTAGATCGGTAGACCAGCAGAACGTAATGGTCGCAGTAAATGCCGTGGATCGATACCACGCTTTAGTTGTTACTAGCTTTATTCCGACCTACTACACCAACCAACACCATACGTCTAGGTAGTCGGTTGTTGTGTATACGTAAGCCACCTAAATTAATGAAGATTCACAACATAGCCAACTGATTTTCTTTTTTTTTTACCTTCGGTGACTTAGACCGGATTAAATGAAGATCAGCGATAGGTGAACTCTTCGTTTTAGTTTTATTTTTGCTAGGCTTATTGATTCAGTAGTAATAATGGATGTTGTTTCAATTTATTTTTCAAGTGGGTAACAACTTTCCTTACTGTTGTTTGATTTCAGCCGTTGTTGGTGGAGGAATAGGTGGTGCAAGTTCGGCTTATTTTTTGAGGAAAATGTTTGGCAATAAAGTTTCTATTACCCTTTTTGAAAAATCCGGACGAATCGGTGGTCGTATCAAAGCGGTACCTTTTTGTGGAGAAACTTGCGAATCTGGAGCTAGCGCCATTCATTCTAGTAATCATTACATGACTTCGTTTGCAAATCAATTCAGTAAGTTAGTTTGTATATTTCCTGAATATTTTGTGAACATCATCTTTTAACAATGTAATTGGATTCACGATCAAGTTGTTAAAATTAACTTATTGTTTCCAAACAATAATGTTCATCAGATTTGTAAAGTTTCTAATTCTTAATTTCCACACGGTTCTACTTGATTTTTTCTTAATACATTGTCTCAATCAGACATCGCACAAATGATTAGTCAAGAAATGGTTTTTATTTTTCCTCAGTAGTTAGTTAGGCTCGTTTATATGAAGATTATGAATCAATATCAATGTCTGAACGCCGCACATCAGATGATTTTTCATCGAGAGTAAAATCTTCACTATACCAATAATGTATCCCTTTGACGGTGAAAACAATAGTGCAGTTAGTATACAACTTTAGACCTTCAGTATACATTCATTTAAGATGAGTTTACACGTATAATTTCTTCCAATATTCTGATTACTAGACATAAAATTACAAATTATCATTAATTATACATTTCCCAAAATCAGTAAAGCGTTTTCCAAACTTTATCTACCTTTTAATTTTCTCATTCAGTATCATATCCAAGTAGTACATTTGGAGCATAAATCTCTTACAGTAACGAATTGAAGAGAAATCCCCACTCTGTAAAGTATTTCGCAGATGACCGAGCCCTCCTATCGCATACACACGAACAAATGCAGATAAAGACAGCCAATGTAGCAACAGTCTATGCATCAGTAGGCCTCAGCATACACAAGGGGAAAACCAAGGTCCTCAAATTCAAAACGAAGAACAGCAATCCAATCACTCTTGATGGCGAAACTCTGGAAGATGTAGAATCCTTCACATACATGGGAAGCATCATCTATGAACAAGGTGGTTCAGATGAAGACGTAAAGGCGAGGATTGGCAAAGCAAGGGCCACATTCCTACAATTGAAGAACATATGGAACTCAAAACAACTTTCAACCAATATCAAAGTGAGAATCTTCAATACGAATGTCAAGGTAGTTCTACTGTACGGAGCTGAAACTTGGAGAACTACAGCAACCATCATCAAGAAGGTGCAAGTATTTATAAATAGCTGTCTACTCAAGATACTCAACATCCATTGACCGGATACCATCAGCAACAGCCTTTTGTGGGAGAGAACAAACCAGCTTCCATCTGAAGAGGAAATTAGGGAAAGTCGATGGAAATGGATAGGACATACATTACGCAAATCATTAAACTGCATCACGAGGCAATCCCTAACTTGGAATCCTGAAGGAAGGCGGAAAAGAGGAAGGCCAAAGAACACATTACGTCGGGACATAGAAGCAGATATGAAAAGGATGAGTGACAACTGTAAGGAGCTTGAAAGGATTGTCCAGGAAAGGGTTGGATGGAGAGTGGTGGTGAGCGGCCTATGCTCCTTCACGAGGAGTAACAGGCGTAATTAAGTAAGTAAGTAAGTAATGTTAGGGTATACGCATTTATTTCAGCGATCTGTTAAATGAATACGACTATCCACTACAATGTTCAGATTGACAAAAGTTTGAGTTGTTTTATTGATCATATCTTCAGTAATTTTATTTTCAAGTTTTCTTCCTAAAATTTGTTATCAAATCTGGTAAAATTCAATTTCTATTCTAATGTTGATCTAACTTCACTGAATTAATTGAGCGAAGAAATTTCTTTTCAATTCGTTCCTTCTTTATTTACCAAATGGCATAATGGGAATTTTCACTGAATTAATTATTGTGAACAAAATAGTTTGAGACTTTTCAGTGTTTATTTTTTGTTGTTGTTTAGATAGCGGTTTTGATGCTTGTATTAATACATTTTATGTTTTTGCTTTATAGAAATACCTTTGGTTCCTTTAAAAAATGCTGATCATCGCTTACTTCTTTTTGAAGAAGGTTATAAGCCAGTATTTTCAAATATTACTGATCAGACAACATTTCTAACTCCGATTCACTTATTTTGGCGTTACGGCCTCAACTTGCTTCGTGCAAAGTTTTATCTAATGGCTAGAATTCGAGAATTCACTCAGTAAGGATGTTTAAATGATAAATTTTATGACGTTTGTCAACTGATGTAATATTAAGGATGAGATATTAGGTGTATACTACTCTACTACTACTACTGCTCTATCCACCTTTCAATGTGTGCCTTAAAATTTGAGTTATGTTTATTGAATAAGGTTGAAAATACTACTGGTTTACCCATATCAAAGTACCTGGAGTATAGTGGAAAACTGTGGTTTAATGGTTTATTATTGAATGTTCAACATTGGGCTATAAGAACACTTGTTCTATAGACAGTTAATATGTCAAGTATACTGCATTTTGTTTATTCGCATTATGTACTGATACACTGAAGTCACAACCACACCCATTATAACTTATGAATACAACTTGGTATGGAGATTAACAAGATTGAGAACATGTCGGAACCTTTTTTGCTACTGATTGAATGAATGTGTATATGAATTATGTATATGAAGCTATCTATGTAATGTGCAGTAAGTTTAAGTAGGTGCGTATTTCGCTAACAATAAATAACCCATACCTTCATTCCTCACTTATCCTGGCCTCGTAGTGGCATGTGACCTGGATTCGTCTAATTCATCAGTATTACATCATATTATAGATTCTTTTAAAATGTTATTTGATGTTTTTCTAAGTGAACCTCAGTCGATCGCTTTACCGCAGTTGCTGTGTTTTTCTGTGTTCTTCTAAATCCTGGGCTTTTACCATTCCATGCTTTCCATTTTTTAATCTTAATCATTTTTTCTAAATGACATCTCCTATAACTGGCTTTTACTACGGTGGATATTATTTTTATTATTGTTTTCCTGTTTATAATTTTCATTTTTCTTATTTTGTCTGGGTGTTAAAGTAGGATATGACCAACCTACACTGATAAATATTCGTGCCAGAACATACATTGTCTATGATTAACTGACATCTTCCTCCTTATTTTAAAGACCTTATTATTCCGCTTTTGCTCAGTTATTTATTTCATCATTTGTATTTTTCCTGTATATTTTATAGATTTCAAAATTTCAGTCAGTTTTTTTGCTTGTTTCTGTGATAACCATATTCCGAAGGTTTAGTTTTCTTATTATTGCTCCTACATTATTTCGACCTCTTGTGATTTTCATCTTGTCGTGCTAATCCGGAATGGAAACTTGATTCGACAGATATCTATTTCAGGCTCTCTGTCGATGATGTCTGTCTGTCTGTAATAATCTATATGTTAATCAGATAACATGATATGATGTTTTCTAAGCTGGAAGACCTAGCAATGACAACAGAGAATGGATCTCTATCGAATTCCTGTACAAGATTCAAGAAAGGAGGAACAAGAAAACCTCAATTGACAATAGTCGAACAAGAGCGGAAAAGCCGATGCACAGACCGAATACACAGAAGCAAACAAACGAGTGAAGAGAAGCACTAGAACCGACGAGTGGGAATACGTGGAACACCTAGCAATGACATTGGAGAAAGCTGCAAGAGAAGACAATTTGAGACGACTATATGATACGACGAAGAAATTAACAGGGAACTATAGTAGACCATAGAAACTAGTCAAGAACACAGAAGGCAAGAGAATCACTAAGATTGAAGAACAGTGGAACAGGTGGGTAGAGGACTTTGGAGGACTGAACTGTTGAATAGACTAACCCCACTGAATCCACCACACATCGAAGCAACACCTACTAACCTTCCTATGGGTTTCATATCATCAACAGTGGAAGGAATGAGGATGGCCATCATACAAATGAAGAATGGGAAAGCAGCAGGACCAGACAACAAACCGGCTGACACACTGACATCAGACATGGAGGTAACTGCAAAGGTGTTCCACATGTTATTCAGAAGGATTTGGGAGAAGAAACAAGTGCCACTAACGGACTGGAAAGAAGGATACTTTATGAAGGTACAAAAGAAAGCAGATTTGAGCAAGTGTGAGAACTCAGCTACAGAGGCATCACATTACTATGAGTACCAGGAAAAGTTTTCAACAGGGTGTTGTTGAACCGGTTTGAAGATTATTCACTCGACTCTCAACTTCGATATCTACAGACGAAACCGCAACACTACAGACCATTTTTAAGCAATGAAGTGAATGGAATTCGTCATTATACATGAACATCATTGACTATGAGAAATTATTTGGTAGTGTGGATAAAAGAACCTTATGGAGCCTTCTTCGGAACTGTGGTGTATCTGAGAAGATTGTCAACGTCATACGAAAGTACCGTTATTTGTATAAGATACTGAATTTCGGTTGACCGGACACCACTAGTAACAGCCTACTGTGGGAGAGAACAAACCAGGTTTTAGATGAATAGGAAATTAGAGAGAGACACTTGAGGTAGGTGTGAAGAATATTGTGGAAATCATCAAACTGCATTATGAGGCAAGTGCTGATTTGGGATTTTGAAAAGAAGAGGAAAAGAGGAATATCAAGGAACAGATTTTGTTGTGAACTGGAAGGAGACATCATAGGGAGGAATATCAGATGGGAAGGACTGTCTCTTACAGTGTTTGTTGGAGAATCCTAGTGGGGTGCCTATGTTCCTCTACGAGGGGTAACAGGCGTTGGTTGGTATGTAATATTTTGTTGGAATGGTCAATAAACATTCGTTTGTATCGGTCATATACAGGGGGACCGATCTGATATTTGTTCAAACGTTATGTGCTCGTGAGTACCCTTAATTTGCATTCTTTTTCTAAGGAATTAAATACACACTACTCTATGAAATCAATGACAATACTTCAACTTTGTAAGGGCGGTTATTTGTGGTTTATATGACTAAAAGATTACATAATTAGATACTGACATAACAATAGCTATCTGTTTGTAAGTGATTCTAATTATATCTTGTTAATTGTTTATTTATAGAATTTATGCTTTGCAAGAACGTGGTGAATGTTTCACTTCACCCGGTTTACTATTAAAAAAATTATCTAAACATTTCCCTGAAATGACAAAGTGTACTTTTGCTGAATGGATGCGTAAAGAAATTGGATTAGACGAGAAATATATAAATGAATTAGGGTTTGGAATATTTTCGAGTAATTATTGTCAGAATTCAGTAGATGCTCATGCATTTGTCGGTGAGTTAATGTAGAGTTGATTCATTTTCTAAATCTATGAAATTATTCAAATCTTACTTTGATATCCTTTTGTTTATATTCTTGACTACCTGACTACTTTATTACTTTAATGTCTATTTATGTATACTTGACCTACTTCTTATGTAGAACTATTGATTAAAACGGTAACTGTTTTACAATTTCTTTTCACTCCTAAGTATACTTGTCAACTTTCAATTTCTTACTTCTTAACTATTATATGTAGTTATGCAATCCATTTCATGGACTTTATGGATGTGAAACATAGAGGATATTCATAAGTTACTGGTGTTCGATCCTTAGGTGTCTACGGTGCATTGTTTGTGTATTTTGGGACCACGTGGTAAGCAATATCTGAATGAGGAATAGAGTACTACGTAAAGATGGAAAATCGATTGATGAGGTAGTAAATCTTCATCAACCGAGGTGTTTGGGACATTTGTTGCATATTCCCAACCACCGCCTACCACGATAGTCGATGTTATCTAGTGGAGGAGTAGTCTGGAAGAAATCTAGGGTCTGCCAAACTAAAAACATGGCATCAGTTCACGAAGTTACTGATAATCGGACTTAGCCATGTTAATTTATGTAGACTAGCTGGTTGAAGTTCGCGTGATTATCATGATTAATGGCATGGCTCAAAATCGTTTACAATGGCTCAGGTGCATCCATTCTTTGTTATTTCCCAAATCCTGAGATTATTGATTCTTCATAACTTTTATTTGACTAATTTATATTTATATTTATATTTATATTTATATTCGATGCCTAATTTTCCCTATTTTTACTGATACTGCTACTGCCTTTACTATTCTGGGATTTGACCTGACAACTTCATTAACTAATGAGGTATGGTAATCTAAACCGATGTACTTACGTACAGGTTCTACGTTGTGGCTGACTGCATGTAATTTGTTTCAACTTTTACTCATAGTCTAACAGATAGATGTTGTTAAATATTTGGTTTTGAGGCTATCAGATCTCAGACTGGGTGAAATATACCAGTAGAACTTACTTTCAGTTGATTGTTCTAAGCGACAACCATATTCTTGTTTAACCTTTTGTACAAAAGTGTCTGGTTTTGCGTCCCATATTTGAATTTAGTGTTGAAGAGAGATTTTATTATGTAGTATTTTACTCGGTAGTAATTCACGAATATCTTCTTCATTATGAAATCTTTCAATTTGGTCGTAAAGGATTAAAGTCCTGTTGTATCCTGTCGTATTCTCGACACAGGTGAACGTACAAATCGCAATACACCAATAAAGTAATATTTAGTTATATTATAAGCGTTTCGCCAATTCATAATATGGACTTCGTCGAATTAGTGCATTTATTCAACCTTGTAGTGTCGGCTTCTATGTTGAGCCCAAATAACCTATTCCAGCTTCTAAACAAACCAACTTATCCATTCTCCTCAAGCTACATTTTGATCATGTCAATTATTCGCTTATCGACTTTGACTTTTTATATGAGCGTATGTGTGTGCACTTCTTATCCTATTCATCACATGTCTGTAACTTATTTTTGTTCGACTATAAATATCGATTCACGCTTGGCAAAATTGAGTTGGTTCTTTCGCCTTTTCCACTGCGCGTCATTTAGTTTCACTTCTCTCTCTTCTTCGCTCCGTCATCCTGATTGTCTGCTCAGATCAACGATCGTATAAAATATACGCATTCAAACTTCATTCTCTCATTATAATTATAATTATGGATTTCTACATCATTATTCTTACTATACATTACATACACAATTTGCTCACCTATCAGTTTTCCTTTACACACTTCATCATTCCTTCGTTCCTGTCGTTATTACAATTACTCTCTGTTTACGTTCCTGTTCTTTTCAATTCAATTGTCTTAGCCTGCTGCAGCCAGGAATTCCACTTGTGATTGGTGTTACATACTACTTATATTTGTCAGCATAAGTAGCATACACCATAGTATATTATCTATATTTTTCCAAGTTATCAGTTATAGTGTTCACATCCATTTTTTATTTGTAGATAATGTAATATTAAAGCGAAGCATTGACATAACCTTGATTTTAATCTTGATCATTTTGTTTCTATTATCAATTATAGGAGTGATTTCTTCAGCTTGTACAGTATCTGATGTATATACTATTGAAAATGGAGCTGAACAAATCCCGCAAAAGTTAGTTGAAGTTGCATTGGCCGGCAATCCTTCTGGTGCTCCAAAAGAGTTTATACACGCTACGGTGAAGAAGATTACACGAACCGATAATGATAGGTAATCCTATGTTTCTAATGAGATGTTTTTCGTCAGTAAAACAGTCATTGCTGTGCTGCTAAATAAGACTCCAATAAGACTGTGTATTATGTTAAAGCCAGTCAAGTTTTAAATAAAAATAAACTCGTCTATAAATCCAACTGTTTGACTAAAATGTAGTATTTTAATTCAGTTTACCATGCATGGAAGAAGGTTTTGAATTAAAACTATAAACAAACTACTGTATTTCTTCAATAATTGTGCAGAAGATGTTTTATCATAAAGATTTTGAATTTTAGAGAAAACTGTTTAATCCATGAGGTATAAACTCGAAACCTTTTTGTTCTCTTTCCAACATAGTAAAACTTCAGTAAGAACTATTTTAGCTTATAATTGCTCAATCAGGTTATTGTAGTAATAACATACGATCGTCACTACGAAGTAGTACATGTAAAACAAAAAATGTCCTTAAACTTCTAGATGTTAATGTTATATCCGAGCGAAGATTAAATCACGAGTAATTCCTGAGACATGTTAATTGACTAATATTATCTGTTATGACCTTGAATGTCTGACTTTTCTATCACGCGATTTATCTACCAATCCGAATACGACTTATACGTGTCTTCACACTAGGCCAACCAATGACGTTCAACCGGTGTGGGCAGTTTAGCGTCCTTATTGGTCCTATGTCCTACGAGCCCTTCCACTTGAGTCCAGAACAAGATACCAGCTTCCGAATCAGAGCAGATCGTTTATTTCAGGCATACTTGGTTTATATATCAATCATACAGACCGCAACGTACCATAAAATAGGAAATAATATTTGTACACAAATAAGCCCAAAAAGTGGCTGTGAATGTGGGAGGCAGTAGTTAATAAACTGAACATAACTTAAGAACCGTAAATCGTACAATAATAAATTATAGGCCAAAATAAAGCTTGTCATAAGAGGGATATAAATATACATAGTGTAATTGTCGAGTAGTTATACAATAAGAATATTTATAGAATATTGGTCCATGAATAGTCCTCGGGAGTTACCTGTGATTTAATCTCTACTCGGATATAACATTATCCATATATTCTTATGGTGTAACTATTCAATAGTTAGATTATGTATATTTATATTCCTCTTATTATAAGCTTTATTTTGACCTATAATTTATTATTGTACAAATTACGGTTCTTAAGCTATGTTCGGTTTATTGACTACTGCCTCCCACGTTCACAGCCACATTCGGCCAAATATTATACAAATGTTATTTTCTATTTTATGGTACGTTGTGGTCTGTCTGGTTGATATATAAACCGAGTATGTCTGAAATAAACGATTCGATTCGATTCATATTGCAGAAGCTGGTATTTTTGTTCTGGTCTCAAATGGACGGGCTAGGCGGACATAAGATCAATAAGGACGCTAGGCTGCTCATACTGGTTGAACGTCATTGGTTCTGGCACAGTGCTAAGACTGTACAAGTCGTATTTTAATTGGTGGATAAATCACGTGATAAAAAGCCGGACATAAAATCATAACAGTTAATTATGAATATTTTGTATTTTCCAAAGTTTAGGTACATTTAATTACGCTCCTCACCGCATTCTGAATTGGAAGTTGGTTTTTATTGTTAGCTTTTAATCATTTAGTGGGATAATTTAATTAACTTATCCAACGGTGTTTTTTTCTTCAAAATCTCCATATTTCAACATTTCCTCTTGTGAATAAAACTAAATTCTCACTTGATACAAGTAGAATATATTAGCATTAGAGCCATTGGATCTGATCCCAATAATTAACTAATTGGATTTTTTTTAACTAAAGCATGAAAAACAAGCTTAGTGGAATAAGGCGAATACATTTATTTCGTGGATTCTCAGTTAACTAGCCTGACGTCTACAGTAATAAGCACTAGACTTTCCAAGTTTAGTATTTAATCTGTTGCGATCAATTTTTGATGAATGCTACCTACACATTAAACTAACCTTCATAATATACTAGCCAAGCTTACCATTGAGTTACTACAAGATGTGCTTGAAATTCTAATAAGAAGTTGTGACTGGTGGAGTTTATACATAGCGGAAGTGAAACAGTTGCCACTAGTAATGGCATTGGATGGTTTCTGCCTTTCATCGAAAATTAAATAAATTTGAGATTGTATCATTGGGAACCGACCCAGTGGTCCTAATGACTAGGTGTTTGCGAAACCTAAAGATCTTGATTTCAATCCCTAGTGAGATCTTGGGTGCACACTTCTAGGTTGAAACAGCTCTCCAGTGGCCTGTGGTTCTCACTAGTACTCGAAATGAGATCGATCAGTTAGTCAAACGCCACGTACAATCTGGCACATATATATACATCAGTTCAAGTTGCCATTATCCATTAGCTCAGTGAGATGAAATTGTTAGGGTAAACCCGAGATTAGTAGGGGTAGTAACAGTTTTAGCGATGACAGAAAAGATAATACATTGGAGATACGTTGTGAGAAAGTGTAAATTGTTAACAAATTGATGGAGAATATTTCTTTTATCAGTTTTTAGAAATATTATTGGTTGTTCTGTTTACACATGTACATTTTACGTGATTATTTTGATTTTACCTTAATTATTTGTTTCAGATTACGCTTATCCTATGATCTAGCCGATAATAATAAAACTGAAGAGGGACTTTTCGATTACGTCATATTGTCATTACCACTACATCAAGAGTCCAATATTTCCACTTCAGATGATATTAAACTACCCAGCTTACGTTATCATGAGATGTGTCGTACATTTTTATCCGGTCAAATCAATTATTCGTTATTTGATCTACCGTTAAGTAAGTAGTCACAGTTTGTTACACTTACGTAGTTCATATTTATTACTGCCCCCAAATGCCCTGGTATGGCCGAGAGCGGGGTGGGTTCGCCCTCCCTCTTGAAATACTCGCACACGGCCACGCGTAATACAGCCTCTGCCAGGGAAGTCCTACTCATTGCCTTCTCGTGGCGAGGGTGTTGTTTACGAAAATGAGAGGACGAAAAGCGAATGTCCGGGGCTTTAACCGGATTCCAAACCAATGGTGCACATGGGCACCAGTATCCTGCGGGAACAAATGGCGTATGAACCAATTTTCAAGTACCGGCTACCATGGGACTGCATCTCCTTACGATGCTCCACTGCCTTGTGGATCAGACCTTCAGGTCGAAGGCTCGGGGTGTGGCCCCCTAAGATAACCACCTGCTTCGGTCTGGGCACCCGGGTAGTATCGCAGCCCCACACGCAATTAATGAACTGAACTGTCTATGATCATGGAAACTAATTCTCTTGCTTCGAAGAACATTCAAATGATTCAATTATTATTATTATTATTATTATTATTATTATTTACTGCGTCATTATTCACCCTTCTTTATTCCTACTCTGTCTATACTTATTTTTTCGACTTATACAGCAGCTCGTCTATGGTGGAAATTCGACTGTATTTAAACGTTCTCGTTTAGGTGGCCGATGGGGACTTGTTAGTCGCAGGACAGATAACGGGGACCGTCTACTGCAACTGTGCACAGACCACAACCTGTTTCTGGCTAGCACTAACTTTCGGCACAGTCATCGCCGATGTGCCACCTGGCGTCCTCCCTCTGCATCCCAAGCCTGGACTCAGATTGATCACATCGCGATCAGCTACCGCTGGCGTGGTTGTGTACAAGACTGTCGCTCCTTTTGGAGTACCTATCTGGACTCTGACCATGCCTTGGTCTGCGCCAATCTTACCTTACTTTTTAGTGGCCAACGAAGTGACCGCCACCAACGGATTGATGTCAGCAAGTTGGTTGCAACTCCTGTTGCTAGTAAGTATCGAATCGAACTAGCTTCTAGGCATGACGCCATGAAAACGGCGGGTACAGTCAGTTGTGGGTTTGCGAAACGTCCCGCTTTTAAGCACTGGGTTTCTCCAGGTTCCTTACAACTCATTGAAGCCCGTCGGTCTACTCCGGGTTACCGTGAGTTTGACCACGAACGAAGGTTGTTATGTAGTGAAATTAGGCAAAGCTTGCGTAAGGACCGAGAAGCCTGGTGGTCGGAGCGTGCTAATGAGCTGGAAGCAGCAGCTGCATCTGGTAATTACCGGAAGCTCTTCCAACTCATCCGAACCACTGGTAGCAAGAAGTCTGGTGTGAGTGAAACAATCTGTGAGGATGACGGGATGCCAATCACTAACATCCTTCGACGTCTTGGACGATGGGCAGAATTTTTCGAAGGGCAGTTCAGCTGGCCTGCTGCTCCGGCAATATCGGTCAGACTGTCCTGCCCTCCATGGCCGGTGACGACTGATCCACCAAATGAGGCGGAAGTCCGCAAGGAACTCCATCTCTTGAAGCGCTACAAATCACCTGGCCCAGATGACTTACCTCCGGCTCTTTTTAAAGATGGTGGTGACTTTTTGACTAAGGAATTGACGACGTTGTTTACAAAGGTTTGGGAACTGGAGAGTGTACCAACGTCATGGAATGAGTCGATAGTTGTCCATATCTTTAAAAAGGGTTCACGTCGTTCTTGTAACAACTATCGGGGTATAAGTCTACTTCCGATTGCGTCCAAGCTATTGGCTTCCGTCATACTTCGTAGGTTGTTCAAAACCCGAGAAAGATTGACTCGCGAGGAGCAGGCTGTGTTTCGTTCTGATAGAGGATGTATTGATCATATCTTCACCCTCCGCCAAATGTTAGAACACCGCCATACTTTTCAAAGGTCAACAATCGTAGTGTTTCTTGACATCAGGGCTGCCTTCGATTCGTTGGATAGGACTGTTCTCGGGGATTGTCTATTGAAGAAGGGTGTGCCTGAGAAGTTTATTAACATCCTAAAAGCCCTATATACAAACCCCTCAGGCAGAGTGTGAGCATATAACCATCTTTCTCCATTGTTCCATATGAGCAGTGGGGTTAGGCAGGGTTGCCCAATCTCACCATTCCTCTTCAACTTTGCCATCGATGACATTCTGGAAACAGCTTTGATGGATGTAAGTAATGGCGGTGTGGATTTGTTGCCCGGAGAAAGACTTCTCGACCTTGAGTATGCGGACGATATTGTCTTACTGTGCGATAATGCCCAAGGCATGCAATCCGCACTTAATCAGTTGGCGATCAGTGTCCGTAGGTATGGTATGTGCTTTGCACCTTCGAAATGCAAAGTACTTCTACAAGACTGGCAGGATCCTAATCCTGTACTCACCCTGGATGGTGAGCAGATAGAAATAGTCGAGAAGTTCGTGTATCTGGGTAGCTGCATAAGTGCTGATGGGGGTGTGAGTGATGAGATTAATGCACGTATAGTGAAAACCAGAGCGGCTTATGCCAATCTGGGCCATCTTTGGCACCTTCGTGATGTTAGTCTGACTGTAAAAGGTCGGATCTACGTGTTGGTGAGAGCAGTTTTGCTTTATGCTTGTGAAACCTGGCCTCTCCGAGTTGAGGACGTTAGACGACTCTCTGTGTTCGATCATCGCTGTCTCCGAAGGATTGCTGACATTCAGTGGCAACAACATGTCAGTAATGCAGAGGTTCGGCATCATGTGTTCGGGCACAGAGGTGATAATTCAATTGGTGTCACCATCTTGAAACACCGACTTCGGTGTCTTGAGCATGTTCTCGGAATGTCGTCCCAGAGAATTCCCCGTCGTGCATTATTTGTCGACTCTGGGACCGGTTGAATGAAGCGGAGAAGTGGTCAGTGTATGACATGGTGTCGTGGCATGAAAGAAAGCTGCAAAGGGGTGGCTTCTGTTGGTCCTTGACAACTCCCTGGCTGGGGTCCTAGAGATGGTTCTACACAATGGCTAGAGAACTTGTCAGATATGGCTCAGAATAGAAGCCAGTGGCGATCCTGCTGTAACCTTCTTTTACTTTCTTCATAAAAGGTGGTTGTATCTTCCTTAACTGAAAGATTTCTTCTGGTTGTACCCTTCTGTTCCCCTACTATTACTATTATTATTACAATACCTTACACCAATCTCCTCGTTATTGTTTTTATATATATATATATATATATATATATATATATATATATATATATATATATATATATATATATTTTACGTTCCCCACTTTTTTCTTTTTCTTCTTCTTAAATTCTCATTGTTTTGTGTGGCGCATATATATTTGGCGCACTCCTGTACCAATATATATGTGTTCAAATAAATAAATTGAGAATTGATTACATTAATGTTTGCAAATCATGTTTCCAATTTTCTAGAACATCTGAAACGTAATCAGTGGGCAACTTTTCTCCCAATCTCAAGTTACTACTCAAATGAAAAGCATCCTGTATGTTCTATAACGCGCTTACCAGTTAAATCAGAAGACTCAGATTTGAAAGATGGTGTTTGGAGTATATTTTCTGAATCAAAATACATACTAGACCCAAAGACTGCTTTATCGAAATTGATTTTAAAATATCCAGATGACGATCACAATCGAATTAATGTTGTACGTTGGCTGGCATATCCAACCTATCATCCTGTTGTAAGTGAATTCGATATATGTATCTGTATGTATTTTGTATTACTTGCTTGTCTAGTAACAGTTATATGTTTTAGATCTGAAGTGAAGAATATTTCCTCAAACATATGTGTCATGATTAATGGTTGTTATATATTTCAAATAGTCTTTGTATGACTTATTCTAAGTTATCAGTATAGGATTGTGGAGATTCTTGAGTTTTTTGAGATCACAAATTGATCAGTGTTAGACCATCATTAAAAACCTGGAAGCACTGGACGGCTGTTTCGTCCTAGTATGGGACTCCTCAGTAGTGCGCACCTGTGTTGGACTGTTTAATGATTATGTTTTTCGGTTTGGTGTCCGTCGGTGTGACAGTTTGATGTAATACATTTTCTTTCAGTTAACGTTACTTTGACTACTGTCTTATGAATAACTGATTGAAAAATGTTATGTTACTCATGAAAATAACAATATAGGTGATCGGATAATCCGTTTAATGTACATTCAAGGATCCAAGAATCAGATATCATTTAAACATTGCTTGCAGTTTCATCCTTAAACTAACTGTTGATTAGTAAAAGTTCACACTTGCTTTGTTTTATTACGACTGATCCATTTGTACTACTCATCTTGGAATCAGGAGCAGTAGCTCAGTGGTTCAGACGTTGTAAATTCAACTACTATGTCTCAGGTTCGAACCCTGTCCCACCTACTTCGGTTTGAGTGACCCGATATTATTACTAGCTCTCATAATTATACTGTATCTTGAAGTCATATGTAGAAACCAACACATTGAGAGAGACTCAGATGCTTATCTCTGTCATTTCACTTGAATAACGACCCGTCATGTTGTGTTGGTAGTTAGGATCTCTATATCTCTTAATATGCGTTTTCCACATATAGGTAAATATTTTGAAAAAAAACAATATGAATCAAATGCTTCGGTATTTAGGAAAAGATGAGAATACAAATGAAAATTCGGATATGTTTTATTGTATCTTGATGTCGAGATTCAGTACATGGTGAGCGTAATTGACAATTACGGTATTATTGTCAGTCAACAACGTAGGACCAGGCACATATATGCATCGGTCCAAGTTTCCACACCTCATTAGCACAACAAGATGAACACCAAATTCATAGAAGTAGTTACTTCAATGGTAGTAATATATAAAAGAAAGATTGCATATAAGGATATAATACAAGAAGAAAGAATTCGTTGGTAGTATGTGAGATATAAAGCAATTTTAATCTCACAGTTTAATGGCAGATAAAGTGTATACGCCTACACCATTGTGATCGATTCTAAGCCATTTCACCCAAAGTCTCCAACAATTGGTTACGATAGTACGGTATTATTGAACTTATTCTAATACGAGCAGGCTCTATTACATCTCGATCATTATTAAAATGCTGTTCCTAATGGAGCAGCGTATAAAGCCTATATTTTATCAGTGTCTGAATTCTGATAATCATGATATCGCAAAATGTTACTCAATGATCATCTGATTAATTTAAAAGTATATATAGTTTTTGTGTGATGTTTAACATAATTATTGTTCACCTACTTGTCAGTGCTCCTATCATTATAGTTTCAGCATGATAAACGGTTAAAAGTCAATAAATTCTACACTAATTGTATCATTTTCATATGCTATTTTGTAATCATCGTAGAATGATCCAGATACTGATTTGGGCCAGTTCAAATTAGCACCAAGAGTTTACTATCCAAATGCAATTGAATTAACTGCTTCATGTATGGAAATGGCTATAATCGGTGGACGTAATGTGGCGTTATTAATTGCAAATGAAATGAAACATTTAAGACAGGATCAAAATTCAATGTTTACAACGTTAACAAATTTCATAAAAGGAGAAACAAACTGAAATTCACAATGTTCACAGTTTACTTTGTGATTTCGTTTTTTTCTATTTGGTGTTCATTTGTTATGACTATCTTGCTTTATGTTTCCTTTTTCTAAAATATGATAAAAAGTTCATTTACCCTGTATTTTTGCTAAGAGTATTCGGTTTCGTATTAAACTCATTCGATGAGTTGAGTAGCATTGAATTAATTTCGAGATATTTTCTAATGAGTATGTATTCTTTGCTTGTGATATCATTTATGAAGTATCGTGGTGTATACTACTGATGTTGACATATATAAGTAGTATGTATCACCAGTCGAAAGTGGAATGCCTGGCGATGGAAGGTTGAGAAGATCGAAGAGAACGAGAACAGAGAGTGATTGCTATGGAAACGAAGGAACGATAATGTCTGAGACAATTGATGGATATTTTGCAAATGAGGTATTTACTGTATGGTTCTCAGATTCTATTAAGAGATTCTGTAATTTTGTAGTCGAATACACTTGTGTTCTCGTTCACTACAGCATAATATATGGATAAAATAGTCTTTTATCGTGAAATTAATTATATCGGTTTTCTTGATACATTATTACATGAGATTATTGTCAAGCTTTGATCGAACTTATTTTCACTAAACTTATAAAACGTGTAGGCAAATGATTGTGATTAAGTTTGCTTGTTAAGATTATCAGTAGTTTAATTCTGTTGAGTGTATGCGATTTAGCTTATAAATAGCCTTCACTTATGTTGTATAACTAATAGTTTGTATACTGTTTAGTGTAAAGTGATTGATTGGTAGTTGAGTTGTCGGTTTTTGGAATACAGAACATCAGTTCTATGTATCTTCATATCACTGGATTGCGTGTACTATCATAATATGATTTTATGAAGAAAATTACTTGACTCCATGTGATTTGCTTTCTGATTGTCGGAGGAGATAAATATTCTGTCTGTCATTAACCTATTTCGCTTATATTTTTGTACAACCAGTGACCGTGGGATGACAATCGAGATAAATACTTACACACCTTACAATACACGATAAATTTCCCCCTTCTACTTTGATAGCCAGACGGAACGCGAACAAATTAGGCAGATAACGATTCTGGTGTACCATATTCATTCGTGACTCGAAACGCGTACAAGCACCTGATAAGCAGGCAACATAAACAAGAAACTTGACTGTTGTCGAAATAAGTGCAACGCATTTGACCCAAACTGGACACTAAAGATTAGATTCGGGAGAGATGCTGTCACTCACTGATCATAAAAAAGAAAATGCTAAGCATACACAACGGGTTGCACTGATCCTACCTAAAGAAGCACGGAAAGCACTTACAGGATAGGAATCTCATGCATCCATTATCATCAAGGCATCCTTCAGTGCTATGCAATTACTGATGATAGAAATGAAGACAATAAAGATATGTTTTTTGAGATTCTGCAATTGATCATATAGAAGCCCCAGGAAAGGACCTGGCCATTCTGATGGAGAATCTAAACGCCAAAGTCGGAATGGACAGCACTGGGTGAGAAGATATCATGCGAAGACATGGACTGGCTATGTGAAGGGAACGAGAATGGTGAGAGCTTTCCAAATGTATATGCCTTCAACGAAATGGTTGTAGGTAGCAATATATTCTCAAACAAACGCAGACAAATCTACATGGGTCTCACCGGATCACACTATAGAGAACCAAATCGATCATATTTGAATGACCAAAAAATTCAAAAGGTCAATAGATGTGAGAACAAAGAAAGGAGCTGATACAACTTCAGATCACCACCTGATGATTGCCAAGACGAAACTGAAGCTAAAGAAGCACTAGACAAACAGCGTTTCAAAACTTCAATGCAATGTTCCTTCGAGATAATAAAAAACTTAACCAATCCAAGATAGCTTTCAGCAACAAAGTTTCAAGCCTTACATGCTCTTCGATAATGCAATGAGAAGGGACTAATTGTTTTAAATTTCTGAAAAGAAGATTTACATGATCTATTTAAAGAGGAAATTTCTATGCAGAACAATTGGAGATGAATCAAATAGGCTCCAGTTACAATGTGCATTAGGTGCTGGACTGCGAGAAACATCGTCAGAAATGGATCTTTATCGAATTCCTGTACAAGATTCAAGAAAGGAGGAACAAGAAAACCTCAATTAACAACAGTCGAACAAGAGCAGAAAAGCCGATGCACAGACCGAATACACAGAAGCAAACAAACGAGTGAAGAGAAGCACTAGAACCGACGAGTGGGAATACGTGGAACACCTAGCAATGACATTGGAGAAAGCTGCAAGAGAAGACAATTTGAGACGACTATATGATACGACGAAGAAATTAACAGGGAACTATAGTAGACCATAGAAACTAGTCAAGAACACAGAAGGCAAGAGAATCACTAAGATTGAAGAACAGTGGAACAGGTGGGTAGAGGACTTTGGAGGACTGGACTGTTGAATAGACTAACCCCACTGAATCCACCACACATCGAAGCAGCACCTACTAACCTTCCTATGGGTTTCATATCATCAACAGTGGAAGGAATGAGGAACTCACTTTCCGTTATGTTCTAGATTTTTCTGCTCAATATAACATTACTGCGATTAGTAGTTTGGAGGTTATGTGACATGACTCATAATCGGTCTTATTGGGGCAAATGCCTTAACCCTTTATCTTGAGTTGCAGTATTCCTCAATACCTGCCTTTTCATTCCATCTTTTCGAACCATATTTTTATTGTTTAGTCTTTCTCATAATAATTAATACTACATTATTTCCATTCATTTTGATACTTTTCAACATATAAGTCACCAGATATGATCGTAAAATTAGTCGTTCACCACCTATAAACTTTATTTATTAAACGTTAACAAATTGAGCATCTCCAAAGCCTAAAAACTCATCTATTTATACTTTTCTACTGAACTCCAATTGATAATTAACTTCAGAATTACCGAATGATTTCAATATAAAGTTTACTGAAGTGGAAGTTCTGATGTTGACAATATCTCTATGCTAAGCAGTTGGTTGTTTTCGTATTTAGTTTGCTATATTTACTATATGTCAAAATGTTAGAGTTGTTCTATTACAACCCCGACTAATCATATTAAATCGATCTCTTTATTTTAGTTTTCTCTCTTCAATGGTGTTTAGGGGATTAATGTTAATTTTGTAAGAAGAATCTTTCTATTGTACATCATTTGGAATTACTATAAACTATCTTGAGACAGAACAGACAGTAAAAGAATATGCATACATTCCTCATCACATATATTTAATACAATAGACGAATTTTTTTTTGTTTTTATTAATATGTAACGAATTCTTTGTTTTCGTTTCCATGTATACAATGTTCTTTCTATTGTGATACTAATAGACATAAATGAAATCATTATGCAAGGAATTTGTCTGAGAAGAAGTGATACTTTTTTTATACTACTGATTTACACATTAAAATATAGAATATTCTAATTTTTAAGTTCCAAGTAGTTAGCAGCTTATTGTTTGTTTGTTCAAGAAGAAAATGAACTATTGAATTGATTCTGTTTGGTAGACTTGTATATGAAATTTTTAAAATAAATTTACAAAGCCTTAGATTGGATTGCTTTCAGTTGGTTACAAGATATATGATATATGCATGTGATATGATTAGCGGATTTTTTCACATATATTTACTCTTTCATAAAGACAAACTTTAAGAAAATCAAGACTTTATTTTAACATTGTTCAATTAAATCCAATTGAGAAGATTTTATTGATTATATCATGGTAAACTGATTGAATTTCAGTTCCAAAAATAAAAAAAATCAATTATGATCTAATCCAATTAATCAATAATATTGAATTGAATGATTCAAGGATGCTTGCACTTTAAATCATTATCATCTCCTGGTTTTTTTTTAAATATCATATTCCTTACAAGTCTATGATCAATTAAATTGATAATAGAAACTTTCTTCAAATCAGAATCATGATAAACTAGATAATATTATGATATTTTTCTTTTTACTAGAGTTATTATTCACAATTTCTGTTCTGGTTAGATACCCATCCATCCATCCATTGAAGCTTTAGATTTTTAATGAATATATAAAAATAAGTTTTGTTGTTGTTGTTGTTGTTGAGTTCTTTTCATGAGCATTCCATAAACCATCTAAATGTTGGTGATAATTTTAAAGCTGTACGAATTACATCACATTCTTCTATACTTTGTAGTAGAACATTATTATGCGTTATAATATTAGCATAATCGAATCCGGGACAGATTAGCTGGATTAAAAATAAAGAAAAGATAACAATGTTTGTTTCAAAATTTGATTAATTTTGTAAGGAAATTTAAAAGGTTTAACTATGTTTTCAACCTACATAATGTCATAAGAATACAGTGCTTATCAAAATTTTGTTACATATTAAACTGAAACGTTTCAAATAGTCTCATATATTTTTAGTCTAAATCACGCGCTGATTTTGTCTATACTACCATTGAAAATAGGTTATGAATGGACTGCCGTTTATGATTGCGCCATATCGTGAATTGGTTCAATTTAGACATTAATACAGTTGGATGCAGCAGTGGTCTAGTAAGATCAATCTTACAATCTCCACAAATGTCCCTAAACTAATAACTTCAGATTTATTAAATCATTGGCCGTACAAAAACTCAAACCTCCAATGTGTTCGAGAAGAAAATTTGTATTAATTTTGTTTTAGCATCCAAAGTGACTTGATCTATGTTCTTTCACCTGACATTTTTATTTTTTGGCTAATTTGACCTGTATTTCTGATATGATAATCTTAAAGTGTTGATGTGTGACCAGTTTGGCGCGGTATATTGTGAAAGAGTCAAAGAGAAAACTTTGTAATTGTTGTTCATTTAAAATTTTATCTGTTTCCGTTAAAGATCCTTCAGAGATTAAATTCGTTGATAATGTGAATGTATCCCTATTACTCCTGTATCTGTTCATAAATCTCATAGATGATCTTGTTGATCATAACACTAAGAAAGTGGGACCTATGCAGTAATTGCTATATTAACCAATGCAGAGAAAATATTGTTAAAAGTTTGTGCAATGTGATTTCTCTCAAAATGCATAGTGTGTGAGACGCAGTAATTCAGATTTTTGATAAATGCTATTTTCAGATAGGGGTTTTGTGGATTATATAGTAATTTAATAGTTGAATTCCTGAGTCAATTTAATCTAAATCAACACAGAAAACCGTCCAATGCTTCCATATTTACTCAACTACTGTTAAATATTGACAACGTTATTATTAATAAATAATATAATTTGTCAATCTTACTTCATGGTTGCATTGTCTAATACTTTAATCTTTAAAATATCGACATATGTTCAGAGAAGAATTCATGCAAATATTACGTCATAAAACAATAAATTTGGTGAAGGAATTCATTTTCATCAATTACTTGATATAATTACTTACTTAAAGTCAACAAATAAGGTTCTAGAAAGTATTTCAACGTATTTTATAGGCCTGGATCCTGTTATTAATTAAGAATCAATTCATTGATTGATAGCCTACGTTTTCGACTTAACGTAACAACGACGAAACTACTTTATTGTCCATTAGGTAACGAATTCATTTTATCGGCATGTAAAATGATATCACCCAACATGTTTCTTAAATGTACTAAATAGCCATATGGTATGTAGTAGTGAACGTAAAATATAATTGGTTATCGATCGTGGACAAACAGGCATATGGTCTACCGATTGTATAATATGTTTCTTTCTGCTCGTAATTGTTTGGAATGAAGTACTGTCTAGATTATACTCTGGTTCTCTATTCTGAGTCTTGGATCCTTGATCTGATAGAATGTGAATGAAGTATACCTGAGAGGTAAAAATATACATAACTATCCGTTATATCACCATAAGATTGCCAAAATGTATCTTTGTGCAACATTGAACAGCTCTCTCTTACAAATTAGTTCATTATCAGTAACATTTTGTAATTTCTCGTTGTTTATATTCAGATTTGGGATTGATCAGTTCCTGTTACCATATGTGGATCCTGAGAGGATTGGCTCGGTACAACTGTGTCATAAACGTTAGTATATTTGATATTTGGTTTGCCATGGGATCCAAGACTAGTGTTTCGTTCTATTTTGGATTCGTCAGCTGGATGTCTTTTGATTTTAATATTTATGTTCAGTCGTAGTCTTGGATATCAAAGTAATAATTTAGTAATACATCCAGCTGATGATTTTCAAATAAGAAGAGATGCGTTTCATGGCTTCCATTGTTGGTCATATATTAAAACTACGTTGTAACTTCAAAATCCTATTTCAAAGTTATTGAGCAATCACAACACGATTGACTTTGTATTAGAATAATGTATAGATAGCATTACTTACTTACTTACACCCGCTACTCCCAATGGAGCATAGGCCGCTGGCCAGCATTCTCCAACCCACTCTGTCCTGCGCCTTTCTCGCTAGTTCTATCCAATTGTTGCTCATTCTTCTCATGTCTGTCTGTCTCCATTTCTCGGTATAATGTGTTCTTTGATCTTCCTCTCCTTCTTTGGCCTTGAGGATTCCATGTGAGGGCTTGCCTTGTGACGCATTTGGGTGCTTTCCTCAATGTGTGTCCTATTCATTTCCAGCGCTTCCTGATTTCTTCTTCCGTTAGGATCTGGTTTATTCTCTCCCACAGTAGGTTGTTGCTGATACTGTCTGGTGAACGGATCTGAAATTTTTTGCGTAGACAGCTGTTAATAAACACCTGTATCTTCTGGATGATAGTCTTCGTAGTTCTCCAGGTTTCCGCCAAGTGTGATTCGATTGATGCATGTTGTGTTGTATCGGCGAATCTTGGTTTTCCCTTTTTGTATATTGAGACCTACTGCTGCTACACTGATCGTTTTCTCCTGCATTTGTTGTTGCGTGTGCGATAGAAGAGTCAGATCGTTTGTGAGGTCTAGATCGTCCAGCTGCATCCTAGCTGTCCACTGTATCCCGTACTTTTGATTTTGACGTCTTCATGATCCAGTCGATTACCAGGAGAAAGAGAAAGGGTGAGACCACGCATTCTTGCCTGACATCGATCTTTACTTCGAACGGTATAGATTGTATAGTAAATTTGAAATCGTCATTACGTATGTTTTGCTATTCTTTTTAATATTTGAATTCATAGTCGTCGGTTGACGTCTTAGACAGATGAATTTTGTCAATTCACATTGAAATATAATTTGCCAAATCGCATCGAAAGTTTATTCTTTTTGTTGTCATTAACATTTATCAATAAAATAGGTACGTAGTATCAGGAATCCTAGTTTTCTTCCAAACACTTAAATTTACATCAGTTCAACTTTTTTTCGGTTCATTTTTTTGAAGACATTAACATATTCTTACCTATATCACTGTTTTATATTTGGGTAGTAATACTAAATTGATTCAAATGAGAACAATAGTAGATATTAGTAAAACATGGCGATTGTTTTACATATCAGATATGAATGGAATGAATTTAATACAGAGAATTTTGGTCACTTTGTTCACTCAATGATATACTTACTTGAAATATCCACTGGTAAAATAATTCTTTATGTGTAAGAAATATTCCTGGTAAATTAGAATCTGGTTGATTATGATTGATTGATAAATAATCTTTATATATTCGACCTGTGATCTCAATAGCTAAAATTGATTGAAAGACATTTGGTGTTTTAGACCATGTTAGCCATTGATCCTTAAAACAAAACAGAATTCAAAGTGTACACATGCGATGATATAATTGCATTATGTATATAATTATGAATAAGTGAATAATGAATTAAGGTTGAATTTTATTAAAAGCACTCAGTAATCTTGACCGTCTGTAATTGTAATTATATTGTTGTCTAAAAATAAATATATCCATCATCCTCTACTGCTAAACATATAATCAAAACAGGCTATAAGATTAATCTTAACTCGGCTTTTGTGGTGTTGTATAAAAGTGTAAAAGAGCGTATACTAAGGTTTATTGAAGCCTTAGCCATACGAAAATTCAAACCCTCTTTGTGTATTCAAAAACAATTTGTTCTCACCTTAAAACTACCCTGGTAACATTGACTTATTATCCAGAGTGATTAGGTTCCAAATTGTGTTCACATTATTATTATTACTCTTATTATTATTCTTGCCTCCTCTTACCCCATTTCCAGTCTAGTTGACCTTTTATTTTTATATAAAAATGTTCTTAACAAGTACATTATGTGTGTGATCAGATTGTTCAAAATGTATTGCGCTAATATATCACATAGTTCTGATAATCTTCGTCTTCTAATTACATTATCGAAATATATCTTGGTTATTTCTTTTACAGTTTGTGAGATTTGTTTGTTTATTCTATGTTTTCTATACTTCTGGTTGAGGTTATCAGTAAAGTTTTCATTTTTATCGGGTATGTGGTATTGAACGTTCCTAGTTATTTCATCGTTTGTTTATTTGATAAACGTTACATATAGTAGTGTAGTCCATATTCAAGATTTCATTTCCAATACTAACTTTGACTGAATTTGTACTTTTTGTGTCGAGCTGAGCCACACTAGAGATGCTAGTATTAGAGAGTTGTGAAAAACCTCAGTGGTATTTCGTTGCTTACTAGTAAATTGACTGCTCTTTATTAGTTATTACGCTTTCAGTCTATCCCGCCATATGGAACTGATCTCCTTTATGATTCTCTGTACTAACAATTGACTGTTGTTGTTGTTGTTATTGAGCTTATCTCCTTGAATAGGAACTATTTTGTAATCTAAGTTAATGATTATTTTTTTTTTAAACTTTGTGTTATTATGCATTCATATAAATATTCTGAGACAAAATTGTTTTCTGATATAAAATTATTTTACGTACATTATTCTAGTAAATCTGATATAGTTTACTTATGTAATCTTAAATAGAAACAAGATGGAATGCGTCTCTTTGTAATGTAAGGTGAATAAATATTATGCCTCTGAATATAGTGCAGATAAACAAGTCACACAACAAACTTAATTTGTTTGGAATACTTATTCTGTATGTTTATTCGATGAAATTGTGTACTTCAAGCTAAATATCTAAACTATAAGGCTTTATTTCTATCAGCTGTTAAATCTAAAAATTCTTTTCAATAATCTTATTAGGTTCCAGTAATTATTCTGTGTCAAAGTATAAAGAATTATGTAATAGAAATTTTTAACTTTAAGAAAACAAATAATAACTCACCATAAACTTTGAATCCAGGAGGAATTTCCGTACATATTGGTCAAATTCATCATGTTCACCTTGATAGAAAATGCTTACATCCAAGCATCCTTAAAAGGAATACCAATGAATTAATTTATGCATATATATACATATATGAATTTCAACAGTTGAGATCACAAGTCAATTGAAGCTAGACCACCATGGGAAACCTGGAAGCACTAGACTGCCGTTTCGTCCTATTGTGGGACTCCTCAGCAGTGCGCACCCACGACCCCGCCCTGCAGGATTCGAACCCATGACCTATCAGTCTTGCGCCAGGCGCTTAACCAACTAGACTATTGAGCCGGCATCCAACGGTGTTAATGTCTAATTTCAACTAATCCGCGAAATTGAACGATACATCCACCATTGTCATCAGTGAGTTACTACCTCACAACAGACCCGGTTGAAATCCACCGGTCACTGCTTCTCACTAGAACTCCAAGATATATCTCTTGAAGTTAGTCACTAGTGAGTAAATGTTGATTAGTATCAGAAGGGTGGTCTAGCTTCAGTTGACTCATGATCCCAACAGTTGAAATTACTACAATCTCGACAAACCCCTTCTGATACATACATGAATTTAATGCCTTCATTTGGATGTACATCTGTTAGCTTAGGATAGTTGTAAGAATCTTTATAAATCACTTATGCACAACCGTTGTTTACGTCTACATGCGATGATGATTGAAACAGTTATAAGTCGGGAAAAAAGCTAGAGGAGGCTCTAATCAAGGAGTGGAACTAGTCCTTTGAATCACTATTTGTTGGCCTGAGCCATGTTTGTTGAGATAAATCAACTGGTTATGGCCAGAGCGATTCACCTAATTAGTAGTTAAAGAAGTTGTGTCACATGCCTAACAATCATCTAAAGTGAGGTAGATGTACTAACCCTTTATATAAGTCTGAATCTTGAAGTTCGAGCATTCATTTATAACTATCTCTTCATTTTGTCTTCACGAACCACAGTCCTTCTCACTATCATTATCATTATAATTACAATGTCCACTTTTCTATTGTCTTAATGATTTCATTTGACTGCATTAATTTAGTATGATAAATGACCCTAATGGTCATATGTATTAGACTTTAAATAGATTATAACGGACTAATGGTATAGAAGTCAGTAAATAACTATATGTAAGTCATGCAAAAACTTCCATGTATCCTTCTTATACCATAAGATTACATAAATCTAAGCAAGAATATGTTCCTATTCATCCTGGTATTTTTACGAGAACCATATAATTGTAGTTATTTACTTCTAGAGAGTACACAGGAATTTCGGAAAATAGAATTCCGAACTTCATTAGTCAGTGTTCACTCTCAAATATTTCCTATTCAGATACATTCAGCTCGAATTCCTGATGAGCTATGTTCGTAACCTAAGAAACTTATATTTGTAATGTTTGTTAAAATGTTCATAGAAATTTCTTTAAATATAGGAATCACTTTTTATCTTAGTTGCATACATTTGATCCATTCATGTCTATTTGTAAAACATATTATATGCATAGGCTTATGATTTATTTTCGATAGTTTTAATCTGCTAAATATCTTACAAGTAGCTTCACATACAAATAATTTTTTACTATCTCATATGCTTCATTCATTTGTTTTAGTTCTATTCGGGCTGTCTTGGTCGATATGAATTAGTAAAATGAAGTCGGAGATTTTTTATAAATAATATCAGAAAATACCTAGTAAATAGTTTACACTTCTGATGTAATTCTGGTTTGTGGCTAGCTATGGGATTTCGGATACATATTTCATCCCATTTGAGATATATTAGCTTGATGTGCTTACATCTCAGGGTTGACATTTATAATGAGGCTCAAACTAAGCACCTATTTCTTTTAATGCCAATCTATCTTCCACTAAGCTACTGAGTCCAAAAAGTGACTAACTTGTTTTATGGATCTCAAAGTATTTGTAATGTTTTGTTTGACTGATCGGTATCAAAAACTGAATAATACGAGTCCCTATAACTGATTTACATCACTTAAAAATTTAAAACTGTCACGTAGTTGAATAAACTTACTTAAAGTAATGAAAAATTGAATTTTTTTTCAGGAGGAAACACACTGAACATACCAACTTTGATATAAAGACCTAAAGTCAATACTACCAAGGTGAGTTTAATGTAAGAACTCACTGTTTTCTGAATACACAAGGGACGTTTACATTTTTATATGGTTAGCAATTTATCATTCTCAAACATTCGGTTTTGAACTGTAGATAATTTAAAGACCATATTTATTACAAACTAATTTGAACTGTAGGAATACAGTATTGAACAGATGACTTTTTCTTGCGTGTAGCGTTCGTGGTCGAGTGCATATGCAATCAAAACTAGGACCTTCAAATGACTCTGTACAAATATTTTATACGAATTGTGAAATAATAACCTATTGGCCGAGATATTCAAATATAGTATAATCCATATTAAATGCAACAGTCATCCATTGAGATTGTTAAGTAATGTTTCTACAGATGACATAGATGAGATCCACCAAATACTACTAAGTAGTTTAAGTGATTTAAAAACTACAGTAGACCTGTTGAACATGACTTTAATCTCTAGAAATCCGTATCTACATAAGATAATAGTCTTTTAACTATAAATAGAGTTTAAACTTTACAATCATGAAGATTTCTAAAAACATACTTTTATACTTACTCTCATTGGTGAGTAAAACTGATATAATTTTTGTCACTGAATACCATAAATATCCAAAATTTAAATATCTAATGTGAGGACAAAAAGACATTGACATTTATTAAACAGTAATAGAATGTTGAATTGTTCATCAATATTGAATGTTAGTGTAGTTCAATATTTTACTGTAAAAACAGTTTAACATAGAGCTCTCCTAAATACCAATATACATCCTATTGAGGAACTAGCTGGGTCATAATAAGAAAAAAAATAGTGTTCCGATTTGGGGACTTGTCGAGAGGATTGGTGGCCATGATTACTAAGCAATAGGAATAGCTGGGTCATAATAAGAAAAAATTATAACACATTTTGTACTTGTTTCATACACAAAATACTGTATTCATGATACTGATGTATGAATAAGCATGAAATCTGGATGCATAGATTCTTATTAAAGCACATATATATATATATATATATATATATATATATATATATATATATATATATATATATACTTTAATAAGAAGCTATGCATGTGTTATAACTTTTTCTTATTATGACCCAGCTATTCCTATTGCTTAGTAATCATGGTCACCAATCCACGCGACAAGTCGCCAAATCGGAACACTGTTGAACAGGAAAGAAATTATATCCCAAATAACAAGGGTAGATGGAAATAAGAAGTACAATAAGAGAAACGTTATTATATTTATAGTTTTTACATGAGAAGATTCTAGAGTCTGCTCCAAGTATCGACTAGCGCGGATTGAATAAGAAATAGCCAATCAGCGTGCACCAACACTATCATACATGAAACATGCTTTCATTCAGTCTATGTCCAGCTAACACAATGTTAGCGTTTTTGGTTATCTATATAACTATATTAAAAGAATTCGGTCAATATTCAAATCATAGACAACTCATTTATCAAGCATAGTTTTATGTACTGAACCTTAAGGTAGATTGTTAGTGATAAAACTCGATTGTTGAGATCTATATAGGTGGTATGGTGTTCTAGTTTATAATCAAAGCGTTGGGACCAAGTAATTGAATTACCAGTATCATAGTTTTATATAACATTTATCAATCGCTAGTAAACAAGTAGGTTAATTTTAGTTATGTTTCCCTACATATTCTGTAGTTCAATAACAGCATAAACTGAATTCAAACTTTTAAATTCCTGTGCCAATTTTTTAGTTTATCTAAGTTGTCAAAGACAGATTTGTAGTTGTGTTTTTTGTAGTAAGAGATTCACTATTTTGAATAAGATCAGTTATATTGTAGTTAACTGTAATGTAAAATCTGATTGGTTATTTTAAAGAATGTTAAGAATCTTGTATTGTTTTAGTTATCTTCTGTTATTGATATTTTGTTTAATGTATGACAATGTAATGCTTTCATAAATAACTGAACTTTGATTAGAGGCTTTCAATCATCTTGTTATTGATATTCAAGACTGAATTTTTATCTAGTGTATAACACAATTTGGTGTGAAGTGAAATGTACTTAGTTCAGGTATCAATCTAAGCATTAATAACGAGATTTAGGTATATCCAAGTCATGAGTCCCATGTATAACAAAATGTTAGTCATAGATTCCATTAGAAATCACAATTCATTCGATACATGAAAGTGAGTCCTCACTTTTTATAATAAAGAAAAATGGTTTTATGTAATACTAAGTACATATTTAATAGATCTAATCAAAAGTCTACGTCAAATCATTACGAAGACCTAAGTCTTTGCTATGCAGAAACATACTTAAAACAACATTCTCTTTACATATTCAAGACAAATTGAATGCATATTCAGTATAATATTATTATTACCGTTGTTACTTTGAGATGGTGGAAAGAATTTGTAACTCAGGCGGGTGATTTGGGTGGAGTTTTATTCTCTGAGCTTGATGGTTTGGTCATGGAGCTTTCAGTGTTCTTCTGAACGACATCATCAGCAAAAACTTCAGATACAAGTGAATTGTTCGAACTTCTTCACATACGGGAGATGCAACCAAAATAAAAAAGTAAACAATGATAGATTTAAGGTCCACAATAACGAGTCAACATCGAGGTCTACACGACAAGCTATGAGCCATATGTGGAGAAATTCGAACACTTAACTTCTACATGAAGTTTGTGCTGATGATGTCGTTCAAAAGAACGATAAACGCTCCACAATCGAACTATCCAGCTCAGAGAACACAGCTCCACCAAAATCTATGATACTAGACAGTTAGATAAACTATATGAAACTCATGATAAAAACAGTTTTATTTTTTAATAAAACACATTTTAATACATAAAAGGCTGTTAGAAAAAAGAAGAAAATAGTTTCTTTTATGAATTGGAAACAAAATATTTATGTTCATTTACTCGCTTACCTGGGTATTGATAAATCTGGCATAAAATAAGGCCATTGTAATAATAGTAGTGAGATTTCTTTTTTTGCAGAAACATACAAGTAAGAAAACAAAACATATTGTAATATATAATAAAGAAATAATTAGAGATCATGAGTTAATTGAAGCTAGACCATTATGGAAAACCTGGAAGCACTAGACGGCCGTTTCGTCCTAGTATAAGACGCTTCAGCAGTGTGTATCTACGATCACACAACGCGAGATTCCAACCCACGACTTATCAGTCTCGTGTGCGAACACTTAACTCCTAGACCACTGAGACAGTCGGCATCCAACAGTGTTAATATCTAACTTCAACCAATCCACGAAGTTGCACCACCGTCCAACATTATCATCAGTGAGTTATTATCTCACAACAGACGCGGTTGAACTCCACTAGTCACAGCTTCTCACTAGAATCTCTTAGAGGCCGTCACTACTGAGCATATGTTGATTAATATCAGAGGGTTTTTTGTGGATATTATAGCGGTTTTAATAGTTGAGGTCATGAGTCAATTAGTTTCCAATTAATTAGTTTCAGATGGGTTTTGTGGATATTATAGTAATTTCAATGGTTAAGATCATGAACCAGTTGAAGCTAGACCACCATGGAAAACCTGGAAGCACTGGACGGCCGTTTCGTCCCATTGTGAGACTCCTTAGCAGTGCGCATCCACGACCTCGCCCTCTGCTAGATTCGAACCCAGGACCTACTGGTTTCGCGCACGGTCGTGATCGTGCCGTCCAGTGCATCCAGGTATCCATGGTGGTCTAGCTTCAACTGACTTATGATCTTAACCACTGAAATTAATTAGTTGCCAAAACGACGTTTTCTTATGATACAGAATAGTCCAATGAAATAACAATTAATGTTTAATGAGACAAATGAAACTTGCTAAAAAGCCATTGAAAACTGCTAATCATAAATAATAATGATGATTTTTTTAAATATTACTTTGAAATGACCTAGACGTTTGTTTTATTTCTTGAAGTAACACACATACTGTTCATTAAACTATTACTTTACGAGTTCGTCTTTTGCAAATTGCTTAAGCCATTGCAATCTATGTTCACAAACTAAACATCTGCAGCCAAATGAAGTTTGTACAACTACTTGCATTAACATGGCCATCGGTATAAGGTAGTTGGTAGAAGAATTTTGATAAACTATTTTCGTATTTCTTCCATTTCTTGCATTTTTGTATTTTACTTATTCTCAACATTCATCTGTTGATTCCTACATAATTACTATACTACTGACCATTCATCAAAATACCTTGTTAGTTTCTTCTTATTTTATTCATTATGCAACGTAGCAACTGCTTGATTTTCGAATAATTACTTTGATTATTATAATCCTCTTTCTTCCAATTACTCAATGTTAGTCTATAATCGATATGTTATTATATAGTTATTACGTAACGTATCTTCTACTCGATGTGTATTATTCCATTATTGTTTACTACTCTTGGATAGTTCAGTATACTACAGTTAATCAGTGAGTAATTTTTATTTAAAAGGTACTTTATAAATGAAATTGTAGTATATAAATACAAAGATTTTAATACAAATTTGAGACAAATATTTGGCTGAAACTAGTTAATGAGCAACTATACTCTATATGGACTATTATTACTCTTGAAATTTCTTGGAACTACATCACTAAGGTCTACACAGAATGGGTCAAGTTGAATGGTCATACAGTTTTAGTCACTCAGACAGTACGATTAGTCTACTATCACATTGAATATCACATGTATCAACCTTCAAGAAATATCCTATTTTTCGAACTTCCTATATTATCGAACTTCTAGCATAGAATATAACAACTATTATAATCATCCTATTTAGCAAATTACAGAGTTATTTAAGGTAAAGGTAACTAACTAATTCTTTATTCAAAAGTAAGTAATTCAGGAAAAACTTAAGCATACTATAAAATGGGTATATATATTTATGGTATAGACTTACCCAATATATTAGAATTGTGGATATATTGAAAAAGTTTACTACCTCCAGAACTAAGACTGAAACATAAAAAGATCAATAAAAAGTAAGTTAACCCTTTTGTATAACATTTTGATTATGTAGGTCAGTCCGAATGAATCTAGTCATTTTTGTATAGACTGTGGTTAATTGGAATTATTTATATAATAGGTCATCATATCCATACTTTATTCAATGAAGAATTTTATCGATGCTTAAATGAATTAGAACAGTTTAAATAAACATAAACACAGATTACATTTGGAGTAGAATAGTATGCGACTACAGGACATCAATTTCATCCTATTCAAAACTCGGCAGCGGAATTTATTTACATCTCAATATAGAGTGTTAAATCATGAGTAATATAAGTCCTGCATTCAATCGCTATTCACTATCAATTATAATCTAGTTAAAACAAACAGAAATTTAGAAAGCTTATATAACTACTACGGTTACTTGTACTATTTTGCATCTCACTATGGTAATATAATGCAGTAATTCAAACCGACCTACATATATTCTAGGTTGTACGTTGCTGATGACTGACTGAATGGTGAAGTATTTTTAATATCCATAAATTTTTTATTGTGAATTTACCATCTTTATTGCTTTGATAGAGAATAATATATACTGAACTAATGTAAATTCATAATTTTATTTACACTTGGACCTAAACATCAAAATCTTACTCAAACTAAGTTACGTTTTTGAAGTGCAATTGATTACAACTAATTGGTGCAAACACTTTGCCTTTTGCCTCTCTAGAGTTACATTAGTCTTAAGGTCAGTTTGTGCACAAAGTCAGCAGCCCGACTTCTCAGAAAAATAATCTCACGACAAAAATAGTAACTGGAAACATCTGTGTTAAATGTGTTTTGAAGCGCTTTATTGTTTTTCTTTCTATATATCCCCACACTTCGTATTACATAGATAAAATGAAAGGGTTACAAATACTACGGTAGCAAGGCATTGTCATTTATAGTATTTATCAAGATAAAGGTCAGTAAAAGTTTGTAATGAAATATTATTATTTAGGTTTTTGGTTTTTTAATCGTTCACTAGTAACGTGACATATTGATAAAGACTTAAATATCTTGAAGATTTTTCAATAACTTATATTCTTGTTAATGTGTTTGGAAGTTTTGAGGTGCTCAAAAGGAAACCCTGAATCTAGGTTTTGTGCTAATCGTCATCCTTCACTAAGCCGTACCTGTAATTTTTAGGGAGCTGATACGCGCAGTAGGATTTGATACCACATCACCCAGTTTCTGCGTCCGAGCCATTACTACTGTGTTATTTGGGCAGCTTCTGATATTCTATAGAACTGACTAATCATTTGATAAGGATTAAGCAACTGCTTTTGTAAATATGTTATATAATCATGTGATTTAGGATTATATAAACTAAAGTTTACTTTTTTAAAGACAGCTACATGAAGGTTTGAAGACGGATTGTTATCCTAATCTACCATCAACCAGAGAAAAGTTGAAAATAGTGAAATGTTGTGCACCCATTTTCTTTTAGAAAGAAACTTCCTAATGATATACACTTCCGAGACTTCCTGGGGTTCGAGATGGAATCATTATATCAGTTGGTAAACATAATCTATTTAAAACAACTGAATCAAAATTGAACTTTATTTTATTTCACAGATTGAAATCATGAATCATTTGAAGCTAGACCACCATTGAAAACCTGGAAGCACTGGACGGCCGTTTCGTCCTAGTATGGGACTCCTCAGCTAAATGATGTAGTAATCATTGATTGTCATTTGTACGTAACTCTTCAGTTTCCAATCCCTCCTATTCTTCTCAAATTATCGTTCTAGTCATGGAATCTAACTTCTTTATGTTCAGTCTTGTACAGGGTCATATATATATTTTACTGATTAGTTACGAAACATAATAAAACAACAGCCTAGTACTTTCTAATTTACAATCCACAACTAATCTCTTGGTAAGCAATGATGGATAGTGGAGTCCAGGACGCGCGTTCCGTCCTATTTGGAACTCGTCAGCTGGATGTACCTGCATTTCAGAGTTGGTGTTCACTCTAGGACTCGAATCCAGTACCATTCGCTCCAAACGCCATCGCGTTATCCACTCAGCTACTGAGTCCTGATAGCCACTTGATTGTGCAATGGGGCGAATTTGAATTCCCTTGGTATTGTTTGGTTTGTATCTTCCCATTGAGGTTTAAGACTGCAATTGATCAGTCTGTTATCGGCATATGTGCATACTGTGCGTATGCCTCGATATTGCCTTAATTCACAAGCTTTTTGTAAGCAATGATGGATAGTGGCTAGCAGTGGAATCCAATGGGAAGATACAAACCAAATAATACTAAGTGAATTTAATATTAATCTCTGCCTTTTATTTGAGTAAATGACAGGTTCATTATTACAGCAGTTAGACGAAATGTTTTTTGTTTACGTTTCATGTAAAACTTTGTAAACAATCAATAATAATAATACTATTATTATTAATATTGGTGTTCTTGTTTTCATTAAGGATCTAACATAAGTCATATTATTACTGTTATTATTATTAGTAGTAAATAAACATGAATTTGAATAATTAAAAAAAAGAGAAACCACTTAGTTTTTGCAGAAAATTAACAGATGAGGTGGAAATATCGATCGACTAAGATGGTTGAGACATGTATTAGATACCCTCAACCATCAACTACTGTGACGATTAACATTTGCCAGTATGGAGTCAAGTTGGTAGAGAAATAACAGCGGTTAAATCTAGACGTAAGATCTGTCCATGGATTCGTTGGCCGTTAGTCTAAAACATGTTGTTAGTTAAGAAATACCTGGTTGAGGCCAGCCCAGTAAAGTTATGTTAGATAACACGGGTCAGAAATAATTATAGCGCGGCAAGTCCATTTACTCTCTATCTTGATCCAGACCTTAAGTTTTAACATTCATTCACGTATACCTATTTTTCCTATCTTTCTGAACTGTATTCTCAGTGTTTAATCCTTCTGATCTCAGTTGTTACTAAATTATTTCAGTACACTTTGCTAATTTAATCTTATCGTGTTTATAGGATGCTAGTTTGATCTAACCTATATTATTGCCAAACTCTACAGTGATCATAAATGACTGACTAAAGAAGGTATGTCACTATTTGAAAATTGAAACTTTAACGAACCAACTTCAGTTTAGTGAATTACGTAATTACAAATAACTTATTGTCTTTGGAGATAATCTTATTCCTACAAACACTTTGTTGTGTGACATTTTTATTCACTAAAGATGTTTTATATAATAGGAAAAACATAACAACCGAAAATGTCACTATAAGGTTCTGGAGATTATTACGTTTTTGAATGACATCATGAACCGTTTGATGTTAGACCACCATTGAAAACGTGGAAGCACTGGATGGCCGTTCCATCCTAGTATGGGACTTCTCAGCAGTGCGCACTCACGATCTCGCTTGCGGAATTAGAACCCAGGGCCTTGAGTCTCACACGCTAACGCTTAACCTTTAGACCATTGAGCCGGTCGGTATCCAACGGTGCTAATGTTTAATCTCAATCTGTTCACCATCTTCCATTGTACTAAGATAGATACCCGACACAGATTGAACTCCACTGATCACGACTTCTCACTAGAACTTCAAGAATTCCCTTACGAAGCTAATCACTAGTGAACAACATGAAAATGTTCAATTTCATTTCTGATTATTAAACAAAAGTGAAGTAATACAGGTTCTTCAACTAATCATAAATAAAGAAATTAATTATTCAGTTTTACAAAGAAAAAAAATGGTTGAAAAACAAACACCAATTTCAAATAACTAACTATCTACTCAAAGCACAAATAAGTTTTACTCAAATTTTTTTTGTAATTTGATTTTACAATTTATGATTAGAAATCATATCTTCAGTTTTCATGACCATTATGAAAATTGACCAACCCTACCCCCCACCCCCAACTTCATTATGTTATCAACTAAACTGAAAATTGTTTTCTTTGTTTTAGCATCTTTAACAATACAGAGTCTAACATGTTAATAGAACAGTTATGAACAATTATTAAAAGATAATACATACACAAAAGGTAGACATGTAACTTACCCAAGATCTGGAATTAATGCAGACAAATCAGTAGATATTGCTTTTTGTGATAAAAAATTATTAAATTGAACTAATTGTATTAAAAGACTTTGTTTAGATTGAATTTTTAACTAAATAAATAAAGAAAAAATAAAAATTAAAAAAAAAAGAATGAAAGAAAAAAAGAAAGGAAAAGAAAGACAAACAATATACAGCAATCTAAATAAAGGAAAACAAATTAACATAGAAATATAAGACAATTGGAATTATTTCAATTTAGTTGAGTAGATTAGGATGAAACAGAATTTTTACAAGAATTTGATCAGATATGAAATTTTAACAAATAAATTAAATTATATGTGAATTATGATAAAAAAAGAGAAAAAAATTAAAGAGAGAAAAGTAGTTTTAATTAATCTGATAAGGGATTTGTGGATATGATAGTAATTTACTCATTGGATTCATGAAATGGTCTCCATGAGGTACGTTTTGGAGTTTTAGTAAGAAGCAATGATCAGTGGAGTTCAACCGGGTCTGTTGTGAGATAGTAACTCACTGATGATAATGTTGTGCAGTGGCGCAACTTCGTGGATTGGTTGAAGTTAGACATTAACACTGTTGGATGCCGACTGGCTCAGTGGTCTAGGAGTTAAGTGTTCGCGCACAAGACCGATAAGTCGTGGGTTGGAATCTCGCGGGTTGCGGGATCGTGGATGTGCACTGCTGAGGATTCCCATCGTAGGACAGAACGTCCATCCAGTGTTTCCAGGTCTTCTATGGTGGTTTAGATTCAACTGACTCATGAATTCAACTCTTAAGTCTTAATTAAGTTTACTAGATTATCACTAATTCAAGATGATGCTTTCAAACGTAACTAACTACTAGTTATCATGATAATTAGTTTGTCTTCATGTCAGTTCTGTCCTTATCTCCCCTATTTTTTTGGGGGGGGGGCATTTCTCCAAAATTTTCCACAAAACAGGGAGATTGGATTGTTATGGCTAATTGCTGTCGATTGTTTTCGTTGTCAAATGTAAGTGTATACGATATGGTTATTTGTACATTAGTTCATGTTTTACTTACATTTTTCATTTTTTCCTGTTTTTCTCACTTACATATTGTTCACCATATTCCTCCCAATAACACAAATTACCTTCAAATTACACACACTTATTTGTATCTCATCAAATGAATTGATTTTTCGGCAATAATTGTAATGGGAATTTAATGAACTCATAAAATGATAATTGTTCATAGAAAGATTATACCTGTTTAAAATGTCCATTGCAAGTATGATTGTAAGTACAATCAGCATCTAACATGATTATATTAGTTATATCGAGTTTTTCTATCCATAAATGTACACCATTTAAAAAAAAACAGTTAATATAAATCCTTATTAGAATGAGAGAATATGTTACTGAACCTGAACAAAGAACTAGACATGTAGGGAATAAATTCTGGAATATAATTGCAAATGAAATGTGCATATACAGGAGAAATGAAAGGGATTTCTTCAGAGAATAAGCCATAATTTGTATATATTTAATATTTTTGTGGTTTGAATTTTGAATATGCATCATAACTGTGTGTTATTAAATGTTAAACACTTTAATTTGCAGATTATCTTGAGTTTAATCTAATTAAGTAGCTTGGGTATACTCAGTTTATCCTTAGTTTACTCACAGACATGTTTAGTTGACTTCACAACGACTGGACACTGTGTAGTAAGCAATGTCCTACTTGTCTATTCTTCAGTGCTAATCGAGTTCTATTGACTAAGTTATGATATAGACTCTAGGATAGGTGATATGACGTCGCTTGTACCATGTTTAAATGATAGGTAGTTGAAAGTGACTGAAAAGCCTGTCGACTGCCTTCAACCAACAAACGTTAGATTATTAAGCTTCATTTAATCATTTAACAAATGATTGGAGTTTAAGTATTTGTTGTTGTGTAAGATAATATAATATCACCAAGTCTTGTTTTCAACCATACTTTGTTTTTTTTAAAAACGGAAATTCTTACCTCAGAATAAAAATCTCCCATCGAATCATGACCATTGTATGACATGAGTTGAATTTTCATACTACTTATCTGAAAGTAAGTAGGCAAAAATTGTTTGAATCAGTGTGTATTCTGGTTTATTTCTTGTATACATTAAACCCTAACTTAAGAACCGTTGGGAAAATTTAGAAGTTTACATACAGAGTTAGATTAAAAATATATTGAGGATAAACTATGTTGTTATCTTACTTAAAATAATACTAATTAAGTTTAAATGTATTGAAAAGCAAATACGACTGGTCAGCTACTTAAAAAGTATATATAACTGGGATACTTCAGAAGGTCGTGTTAACACATAAACACACTCAATCAAACATAAAACCTTCAGATTTTAATATGAATTCGTTTGATTTAAATCACTGATGTGGAACTCAATAGTTCGAACGTTAGTTCGTTTAAAACATTGCGTCAACAACCGACAACATTAAGAACTGTTTCTGTCCGAACCTCATTGAATTGTTCCCTTCATCGTTTCTACTAGAACATTTCAGATACAGTGGCGCTTTAGTTGACGTCATTATTGAAAACTAAACCGAAGTCAACTTCATAAAATTGTCATGTCAATCTGGGTACTTGTTGAATCTATATCCATTAATTTAGAAACACCAAATATCAACGGTAATTTTAAACTTTGGTGTGTCATTATTTAGGTATTTAATTCATATAGAATAAGTTTGAACAACCTTCATAAAAACTATACTGAATTAAGTTGATTTCACTGTTTCTTATGAATGTATACATATTTTCATGCAATTTCTTCATTTAAATTCAGACCTGATTAAAAGAGTAGGCGACGAAAATTAGTCAGACTGATTTTTAAGCATAACAGTTAGTGTTTAATGTCTCTATCAAGTTGATAAACACAGTTATTGTTCAAAAACGATTCACAGAACGAGCTGATCTCAGTTAAAAAATCACTGAAAACCGGGTGGTCAGTTGGTAACTGTTTTGTCTTAGCATGAACTTTCCTTGACTTTTTGTATGCCAATGTAAATATTTCCAAAATGTTATTCAACAAACCAGTGATTAATTGTAATTGACAAAACAGTAATTTATAAGAAAGCGATTACTTTTACTGTTGAACAAGAGTGATTTAGTGTAATAAGGTATAGTTACCATAGCTATATGGCTATTGATATAATATCTTCGTTTAATATAGTTCTCTCTCAAATGGCCTGGCACGGCCGAGAGTGAGGAGAGTCCGCTCTCCCTCTCGAAATGCTCTCACAAGGCCACGCGTATGCAACCACTGCCAGGGAAGTCCTACTAAATACCTTCACGCGGAGGGGGTGTTGTTTACGAAATTGAGAGGACGGAAAGTGAATGTCCGACACTTTAACCGATTTAGTGGATTGGGAGGATTCGTCTAGGGGAGTTGGAAAACTTTAGTTCTAAACCAATGGTGAACATGGGTTCCGGTATTCTGAAGGAACAAATGGCGTATGAACCAATGGTTGGTCACCGGCTACCATGGGATTGCATCGCCTTACGATGCTCCACTGCCTTGTGGATCAGACCTTTAGTTGGACGTCTCCAGGTGTGGCTCCCTAAGAAAACCACCTGCTCCAGTCTGTGCAAGCGGGAAGTAGCACAGCCCACACACAAATCAAGTGACTTATGTGGCGCATATGTATTCGGTGCCCCTTTGTTAAAATATTTGTGTTCAAATAAATAATAGTAAATACAATATTAGTTTTTTACTGGATATGAAAACAATTCGCTTAAATAATCTACGGATATTTTTCCAGTTAAAAATCCTTTCGCCCACCTTATTTAATAACTGATAACATTTTGTTGTTCCAGGCATTGATCTATTTAACAACTTAATGATTATCGATTGTACTGGAGTTAAAATTTCATTCTGAAACTAGAATTTAAAAAAAAGCAATTTAAAGATTGAATGAAAACAGTGAAAACATTTAATGATGTAACTAATGTGGAAATATTCACTTGAGGTTGTTTACTTGTATCTTCCCATTGTTATTTAGGACTGCAATTGATCAGTCTTATTGGGATATGTACATCATGTGCGGACTGCCTCGATATTGCCTGAAGTCACAAACTTTATAAGCAAAGAAGGATAGTGACTAGCAGTGGAATGTAGAACTCTCGTTTCGTCCTATTTGGGACACGTCAGCTGGATCTACCTGCATCTTAGAGTTGGTGTTCACTCTGGAACTCGAATCCAAGTGAATTTAAACTTTTCTCCATTGCACAAGCAAGTGGCTATCTAGACTCAATAGGTAAGTGGATAGCGCGATGACGTTTGAAGCAAACAGTACTGGGTCCAAAATAGGACAAAACGCGCGTTCTGGATTCCACTGCTAATATGAAAATAGTTTTAAAAGTGATGGATCACAGTAAAATAATTGATCAAATGCAATCCAATTTATTAGTTAATACATTTACAACAAAAAAAAAAACTATTTACAATTATCTGTCATTGAATAGTAAATAGTATCGTTTTATTCGGTAGTAAATTTTTAATTGAACATCTTAATTTTACAGAACAATAGCCATGGACTGAATTACTCTGTGCTAATTGGTCTTTGATTCTGATAAACATTAATGAATTTCTGAATCTCTGAATAAGCATTCAGTACCCTGAAGATTTTGGAATACCTTTCTACTAATGAATTGTATTCATTAAGAAATCAATGTTTGTGACATTCTGTTTATTGACTTCAACTTTCTAAAAGTATGATATACAGTATAAATAAGAAATGGAACTTCTCTACTGTTCTGACCTATCTTTAGACGTGAATTTTATTGAGTCTTCTTTTTAATTCGCATTTAAACATACAACTAACATAATCGAACAGTTCAACTGATTGATTATTTAGTAGTGTCCTATGTCTTATTTGTTTAGTCTTTTAGTAGTAAGTAAATGCTGTCGACCAAGTTACAATGTAGCCACCATTTTAAGTCACTGAATACCGTATACAATATTTCAAGATGTTAGGTGACTTGAGATAGTCGTAAGGAAGATCCACTCGACATAGATATCGTTCTGTGTGATATTAATAGGCAACGTGAGCTGCGATATTAGGGAAATTAGTTTGGCCTATGGGGTTTAAACACACATCATCCAGATTCACAGTTAGGTTGGAATCGCCCATTAACAATTTATTACCTGTTACCGACAAAATCGTTGACATGTTGTAATACAGTACTTATATTTAAAGATTATAATATTAAGAAACTGATCAAGTTAACTTTGTAAAATGATTCAATGTGTTATGTCTGCGATTAGAAATATAGAAATTAGGTATTATTTTTAATTATCTACTTGTTTAATTCCATGACTGAGTTGAATGGAACTCCATTGACTTTGAAGAATTTGTTGTAATCCTGGTGAAGCTAAATCTAACAAAAATGGCCAATAAGAAACTTGATCAATTCCAAGGCTTTCTAAAATGAAAAAAAATTCAACAAAAAATATTCTGTGTACACCGGCTATTTTCCAAGCTTACAGTTACTTTTTGAAATAGAAGTGAAGATTATCTTAGTGATTGAATATACATTGGACCCGGTATAATCTCTCTCTCTCTCTCTCTATATATATATATATATATATATTTTTTTTTTTTTTCATGAAGACTTTAATTTGTGACATTTTTAACTGGCGACTCTTTGAAGTCATTTATTGTATAGAATGTTCCGAAGTATGATTCCACCGATTTATTTCATTTAATGTTTTGTGTAAGAACTAGTATTTCATAATTCAAATCGGTCTATAAATTTTAGAAAAAAATTGTTTGTTGTTGAGACTAGTGAATAGTTAGTGCATCATATACTTGATTCATCTCAATTGGAATCGAGATGTGAAGACCTCGTTATAAAGATGATAGAATGAAGCATAAAAAAGTTGTATTCTATTGATTCACATGACTGTTAAGCTTAATATTAACTGACTTAAATACAATTCATAGTAATCAGTATACTGTGTTCGATAATTCATTTTTAATTAAGATCATGAACCGATTGATGTTAGACCACCGTTGGAAACCTGGAAGCACTGGATGGCCGCTTCGTCCCATTGTGCGGCTCCTCAGCAATGTGTATCCACTATCCCGCTCGCAGGATTCGAACCCATGGCCTTTGGTCTTGCGCGCGAACGTTTAACCTACTAGACCACTGAGCTGGCATCCAATGGTGATAGTGTCTAACTACTGAGGAGTCCCACAATAGGATGAAACGGCCGTCCAGTGCTTCCAAGTTTCCAAAGGTGGTCTAACATCAATCGGTTCATGATCTCAATCAAAAAAACTTAATAATCTCCACAACCCCTATACTAGTAATTCATTTTTAAATGAACCAAACTATTAGTTTGAAGACCTTTAACCCTAAATTATACTGGATCGGTAAAATGGGATTTATTGTGACTTAAAACTTTAATAGAAATAGTAAATCAACAATATTTTCTGATAAGTACCTGCATATGGTTTTAGAAATTTATTCTTTAATTGTGCAGTTTCTTGATCAACGTATCCTCCATATTTGTGAAGTATTGCAAATGTAATGTAGTCTTGTAACTCGCTAAGTAAAGAGAATAAAAGACAGAAACTGTTCAGAAAAAAAATACTGACCATCAATTATAGCAATTAAACAAAATCCTCTAAAAAGATATCTATTGCATGAATGACATTGAGCTTTGATTGAAAAGTATAACTTATGTAATCAACTATATTGAAGTTGAAAATAAATATTTATGAATAATGTTGACTAGTTAATTGAGGTGGAAATATTAGGACTTGGACTTACGGAGAATCGGTAACTCCTGAAAGTATTGAATTCTACATGTAACAAGTTCAAGATATGAATGAGAAATATGTCAAGAACCTTTTGAATTTCATTGATCATCTAACTTAGTCTCACTAATATTCCTACCAGTTTCCGTGATTGGTTGACATACTAATAGAAATACCTTGTCGTTCATTGATATCGCAACTTTAAAACTGATTATTTTTCCAAAACGTTTTTCACATTTATCATTGTTTTTACGATAAACTAATTGTTGGATTATGTTTATATAAAAGTGACTAGGTTATTCATTCTACATTTTGACCGTAATCTGAAGCCAAGAAATACTAGTATACTAAAATAAAAGACTTATTCGTACTCATAAAACTTGAATCCGTAACTAATCCGCTTCATGTATGAAACATTTCTATAAATGTCTTTGAATTAACCGTTATCATATATATATATATAGTTGTCATTTTGATCAGTATAAGATTAGATAATGGTTTAAATGGTTGCTCTTTTGGTATAACCTTCTAGAGGATTTGACAAACATTTCTACATGGTTTGTTTTGAAGTTTGATTACGAAGTTAATGGATCTTTATCCAAAAGTCTACCTTTATATCATTGATGAATTAACACATTTTATCTGTCGCAGATTGATCTCAGAATACCACTGAAAACCAAAAAAACATCGGATAAACATCCGAGTATGAGACTCTTCAGTAGTGTATACTCACGATTCATCAATCAATTAAAGGCGATTATCTTTCTCCTATGGTTTTATGATGAGTAAATTTGTTGTTATAAAACTTTGCTTTACACTATTATTATAAATATCTTCATTGGAATTGATGCTTCAATGAAACAAAACATTAAGTTGTAAGATAAAACCATAGACAAATATTAAAAAAACTAACCTAAACGATGTTTGTTGTAACACTCGACCCAATTTATCATAATAGTCAATATTAGTAACCCATACTTGCATATCTCTAGGCATTATAGTTAAATGATTCCGTGAAGTTAATTTACCCAGATAACGTGGAAAGTTGATCTAGATGTAGAAGTAAATAAAATAAAATAAGTTAACAAATGAATTTAAACTCCACCCCATTGTACAAGATAGTAGCTATCTAAGTTCACTAGCTAAGCGGATAATGTGATGGCGTTTGAAAAGAACGATATTGGGTTCAAATCTCAGAGTGAACATCATTTCTGAGACGCAGCTACATCCAAGTGACGAGTCTATAATAAGATGAAACGCGAGTCCTAGATTCCACTGCTAGCCCCTATCCATCTTTGCTTAGGTTATATAGAATAATTTGTGATGATCATATAAATCACACCATCATTACATACTATTATTTTGTAAATTGGATTGAACTGATCTTATTGAGAAAAAAAGAATTTGCATATTAATCAGTATTAGTTAAGTATTGCTAAGTATGAAACTAAGAAGTATTATGCACTTAAATAAAGAATTGCTGAAAAAGGCTGATTTTTTATGTAACATAATTATTTATCATTTTTATTGACTACTGATTTGTGAGTACTTTAAAGCGTTTGTAAATATAATAGGTTTGGCTATTCGCTTTTATACTTGAAGTACATTAAGGAATTTGTATATTGAAGTATGTATTTTAATCTGTAGGTTGCAATTTTATTGGTTGAACTCATGAGCTGATATAAGTTACACCACCATTGAAAACCTGGAAGAACTGGACGACCATTTTGTCCTGGTATGGGACTCCTCGACAGTGCATATCTACGATCCCATACCGAAAGAACTCGAACACATGACCTTCGGTCTAACGCGCGAACGCTCAACCATGAACCAGCATTCAACGATCTTTATGTCTAACTTCAATCGATTCATGATCTTGCTCAATTACTCGTGGATGCGCATTGCTGAAGTGTCCCATACTAACATGGAATGGCCGTCTAGTGCTTCTACGTTGTCAGTGGTGGTCTATCTAGGATAAATCGACTCACGAATTCAATAATCAAACACTCTACAATCTCCACGAACTCCATTCTGATTATAGTTTATAAGTTATTAAATACATAATTTTAAATGATTTGCTTTAAACAAAAATTAGCAAACTACTTCAAGGCATCTTGGTGCATAAACAAGATATGTTGTTCGGATAAAACTTTTTGGAAGTTAAAATATTTATTTTAAATGTTCATGTACAGCATATTAGCTGATATAATTGCTATACAAAGATATACTTTTTGTTAAACTGAATAACAATTATTTGATTTCTAAAAATCAATAAATGGTACCTCAAATATTGGTTTGTCAAAAGTAAAGTAGAAAATCAGTGATAAAAAAAGGACATGTAAAGTTGGTAACAAATAAAAGGTATGCCTAGTATACTGTAATATAATGTCTATACTAGGTAAAAACAAAATGGGATACCTTCTCAAAATAAACCTCTAAAGATACGTCTAATATGTTAAGAGCTCACAAACCAACCAAGAATCTGATCCAGATCTATGTCAAGTCTCATGAAAATATATTTAAATAAATCAGAAAAGTTATTATTCTTTCGTGAACTAAAATATAATCAATTTTTGTGTACTGATTTATGAAACTGAACAGAATACTATATCACTTTGTTAATGGAAACCTAAAATACTTTTGCAATCCAATACAGAAATTTTCAACTTGGTTACAACATACATCAATTTTTCGAATAGTCTTAAAATATTATTTTTTTAATTATAAAGTAGTAAATTAGTATTGACACTTTTTTAAACCTTACACTATTCTAATGCTAAATTGAACTGTTTCATAAGGCTTTAGACCAATAATTGGAAAAAAAGTACATTTATGTCAGATACTGTGGTGTGAACTACTTATATCCACATAAGTAGTATATAACAATAATCAGAAATAGAATGTATTTCAGTAGAAGTTTGTGAAGGAAAGAACAATAATGGAAAGTAATTGTTATGAAAATGCAGAAAGAATAAAATCTGAGATGATGAACTGATATTTACAAATGAAGTATTTACTTTATGGTTCTCAGATTTTAGTGAGTTATTCCATAATTTTGTGTTCAAATACATTCGATTGTCCCTATTTGTGTTCGTGTTCACTACATAACTACTATTAATTGGTATATAAGTACATGTAGATGATATAAATTCACTTTGTTTAGAATAAAAAATTATGATTTGAAAATACAATGGAATTGGTATGCAATAATATAGACATAACATTGTCCATGTCTATATTCAGTATTCATTATATAATGAAAAAAAAGATCACATTTATGCTGATATCAATTTATGAAAGATTATTACATTGTTGGTAAAACTAAGTATCATTTACAATTGAGATCATTTATGTGCAATAATAATAATAATCGTAATGACAATAATTGTCGCCAGAGTAATCTAACTAAAGTGAATGGATGAACTATCGGTAATTTATTGACAATGAAATATAATCTTGAAAAATCATATAAATGAATCCATAAATAGCGACATTGTTTCATTAATTACATTAATAACTTACGTACTTACTTACTTACTTACTTACTTACTTACTTACTTACTTTACTTACTTACTTACTTACTTACTTACTTACTTACTTACTTACTTACTTACTTACTTACTTACTTACTTACTTACTTACTTACTTACTTACTTACTTACTTACTTACTTACTTACTTACTTACTTACTTACTTACTTACTTACTTACTTACTTACTTACTTACTTACTTACTTACTTACTTACTTACTTACTTACTTACTTACTTACTTACTTACTTACTTACTTACTTACTTACTTACTTACTTACTTACTTACTTACTTACTTACTTACTTACTTACTTACTTACTTACTTACTTACTTACTTACTTACTTACTTACTTACTTACTTACTTACTTACTTACTTACTTACTTACTTACTTACTTACTTACTTACTTACTTACTTACTTACTTACTTACTTACTTACTTACTTACTTACTTACTTACTTACTTACTTACTTACTTACTTACTTACTTACTTACTTACTTACTTACTTACTTACTTACTTACTTACTTACTTACTTACTTACTTACTTACTTACTTACTTACTTACTTACTTACTTACTTACTTACTTACTTACTTACTTACTTACTTACTTACTTACTTACTTACTTACTTACTTACTTACTTACTTACTTACTTACTTACTTACTTACTTACTTACTTACTTACTTACTTACTTACTTACTTACTTACTTACTTACTTACTTACTTACTTACTTACTTACTTACTTACTTACTTACTTACTTACTTACTTACTTACTTACTTACTTACTTACTTACTTACTTACTTACTTACTTACTTACTTACTTACTTACTTACTTACTTACTTACTTACTTACTTACTTACTTACTTACTTACTTACTTACTTACTTACTTACTTACTTACTTACTTACTTACTTACTTACTTACTTACTTACTTACTTACTTACTTACTTACTTACTTACTTACTTACTTACTTACTTACTTACTTACTTACTTACTTACTTACTTACTTACTTACTTACTTACTTACTTACTTACTTACTTACTTACTTACTTACTTACTTACTTACTTACTTACTTACTTACTTACTTACTTACTTACTTACTTACTTACTTACTTACTTACTTACTTACTTACTTACTTACTTACTTACTTACTTACTTACTTACTTACTTACTTACTTACTTACTTACTTACTTACTTACTTACTTACTTACTTACTTACTTACTTACTTACTTACTTACTTACTTACTTACTTACTTACTTACTTACTTACTTACTTACTTACTTACTTACTTACTTACTTACTTACTTACTTACTTACTTACTTACTTACTTACTTACTTACTTACTTACTTACTTACTTACTTACTTACTTACTTACTTACTTACTTACTTACTTACTTACTTACTTACTTACTTACTTACTTACTTACTTACTTACTTACTTACTTACTTACTTACTTACTTACTTACTTACTTACTTACTTACTTACTTACTTACTTACTTACTTACTTACTTACTTACTTACTTACTTACTTACTTACTTACTTACTTACTTACTTACTTACTTACTTACTTACTTACTTACTTACTTACTTACTTACTTACTTACTTACTTACTTACTTAATTATACCAGTTACTCTCAATAGAGTATAGGCTGTTGACCAGTATTCATTGATTATATGTTGAGGAAAACTCTGATACAATAATCTAATTTATTGTTTCATGTAAAATTACACAGTCAATTTGTAGAATATATGAAAATTATACATTGAATACATCATTTGCATATCTGTTTTTTGTTGAGTTGTATCACCATTCTTCTAATTTTATTATTATTCTGATTGTTCTTTATTTCAATTTTCTATAGATAAGCATTAAACCTTCGATTACTGTCACATACTACTTATATCTGTTCATATAAGAGGTGTATACCAAAAATTAATACTGTTGTTTGTACAAAATATTGATCATTTATGGTTATTTCAGCTTATTGTCCGATATTTTTAGTATTAAGAAATGTAATGGTACATTATGGACATATATATGTGTGTTTTCTAATACTCATGTGCTATCAAACTACTATAACTTATAAGTGCACTTATCATTATTTTCAAATGAATATAGTTTCGATAAAGGAGTTTGTGAACATTCACTTAGTTTGTTGACTGTATACATCAAATACACATTTAGAAGATACCTTATAGATTCAAACCTAGTAGTTTTAATGAATAAGCGTTTACTATAAAAAACTAAAGGTCCTGGAATTTATCTTTGGCTGGGACATGAATATGAGCTTTTGAGGAATCCTATGCTAGGAACAGACAACTCTCCAGAGCTTTATGATTTCCAATATTGCTATAAATATAATCAATCAGTAAAGAATGCTATCTACAATGTAAGTGTTTATTTTACTTAGATTTCATTACTACAAGTTACAAAGTATATTAGAAATGATAAGAATATAGAAACTTTAAACATTTTCAAAAGTGTCTACCATTAAAGT